CAGGAGGTCGACCAGCCTGGCCAACATGGTGAAACCCCATCTCTACTAAAAACACAAAAAAATTAGCCAGGTGTGGTGGCACATGCTTGTAATCTCAGCTATTCGGGAGGCTGAGGCAGGAGGATCACTTCAATCTAGGAGGTGGAAGTTGCAGTGAGCTGAGATCGTGCCATTGCACTCCAGCCTGGGCAATAAGAGCAAGACTCCATCTCAAAACAACAACAAAATGATCCACTCTACAACTCAGAGTTGCTCCCAGAAGCTCTGAATCAGGAGGCAGAGAGCAGGGTCTGAGAAAAGAAGCAGGAGGTGGAAGGGTGGAGCCCTTGTCCAAAGGGGCATCCTCTCATGATACTCTCCTTTGTCCCCAGGACTTGATGGCAGCTGGCAGCCAGGTTCTCCTGGCAGAAGGTGGAGTCCTGGCCCACTGCTGAGGCCTCTGCCTTCTCTCAGCAGCTGATCTTCAGACTGTCTGGCAAGGACCAGCCTGAGGGTGATGGTGAGTAGTAGATGAAATAACACACATGTAGCTCCTAGAATGATGCCTGGCTCAAGGCAAGTGCTCTGTAAATACTGGTCCTTATTCTTGGACCCATTTTATAGATCATGAAACCAAGGCTTAGTGCTGCTAAGGATACACAGTAAGTGACTGAAATGGAATCGACTGTTAGACTCTAAAATCTGTTTTTAGGCATGTGTGTGCACATGTGTTTATATCAGGCTGAAAAAATGCTGGCTCTTTCCTCATCTCATCACTCACAACATGAATGTGGTTTTGAACTTTGGGAAGTAAATGAGTTTCTTAGGGACATGGAGCTTAAAAAGGAGCCTGATCTATGTGTGCAAGAAATACCTGTCCTGGCTGGGGACAGTGACTCATGCCTGTAATCCCAGCACTTTGGGAGGCTGAGGCGGGTGAACCAGTTGAGGTCAGGAGTTTAAGATCAGCCTGGCCAACATGGTGAAACCCCATCTCTACTAAAAATACAAACATTAGCTGGGCGTGGTGACATAAGTTTGTAATCCTAGCTGCTTGGGAAGCTGAGGCATGACAATCGCTTGAACTTGGGAGGTGGATGTTGCAGTGAGCTGAGATGGCACCGCTGCACTCCAGATGGGGCAACAGAGTGAGACTTTGACTCAAAAAAAAAAAAAAAAAAAAAAGGAGAGACATGAGTCTTTTCTAGCAATTCCCTCTCCTCCTCCTAACCTCTTTACTCTATGACCTCCCTCTCTCTCTTTTCCATCTTTCCCTCCTGCCTCCTCCAAGTGAAAGATCTGTCCTGGATCAGGCACGGCTGCTCGTGCCTGTAATCCCAGCACTTTGGGAGGGTGAGGCGGGTGGATCACGAGGTCAGGAATTCAGGACCAGTATTTTTTGTAAAAATACAAAAAATTAGCTGGGTGTGGTGGCGCATGCCTGTAATCCCAGCTACTCAGGAGGCTGAGGCAGGAGAATCGCTTGAACCTGAGAGGCGGAGGTTGCAGTGAGCCAAGATCGTGTCACTACACTCTAGCCCGGGCAACAGTGCAAGACTCTATCTAAAAAAAATAAATGAATAAATAAAAATAAGATTTGTTCTGCCCACCGGCCAGGTCTTGCTAGGAACAAAGTTTTCCTGTTGAAGACAAAAGAGGGTCAGGTGGCCTGCTCTCAGGCCTGTCTCTGTGGGGAATGGGCCTGGCAGCATCTTTTCCTTAGGAGCACGTATCAGTTGCTACCATTTCTGTTTCTGAAGACAATCTCGAAACCACATTTTCTTATTGGAAGCTGAGGGCACCCCACCCTAGGGTCACTGGAGAAGCCTTGGGCCTAAGGGTAAGGAGCAGGACCCAGAGTTCTGGGCTGTAGAGGGAGGTGCTCCTGGCCAGGCTGGCTGAGCTGCAGCCTACATTCTCTGTGCTGCCACAAATCCAGGTGCCTATTGGCAGTTTTGGCACCAGCTCTGGGGGCAGGTGGACCTGGGATGATTGCCGGGTTTGCTCTTATGGGCACCTCACTTTTCATCCCTGAGTCTCAGTCTTCTCATCCACAAAATGGGCACAATAATGCTTCTGAATAATGCTGAATGAGATCAGGGTACACCAAGCATTTGGCAGCTCCTGGCTCAATAAGTAACAGCTGTTGTCTTTGCTTTCATGGGTTTTTATTTGTTTGGTTTCGGTTTTTTGTTTGTTTGTTTGTTTGTTTGTTTTGAAACTGAGTCTTGCTCTGTCACCCAGGCTGGAGAGCAGTGGCATGATTTCAGCTCACTGCAGCCTCCACCTCCTGGGTTCAAGCGATTCTCCTGTCTCAGTCTCCTCAGTAGCTGGGACTACAGGTGCTAACAGTTTGGCAAACAGTATTCCATCCATTCAAATCCCTGCTCTTAGGGAGCTCATCCTTTCCTCTTCTCTAAGGAGCCTGAGTAAGAGGCCTTGGTTACAGTAAGGAGAAGTCACGAAACTGTATTCCCAAGTACATACTCTGTCCTAGGATCAGAGCAAACTCAGAGGTCTTTGGACCACCAGATGTTAAGAGGAGGGACTGGCCCTAGGCTTCCTAAATACCCTCACATGCCCACTGTCTTCAGCTGGGTTCTCCCAGAAGCAGATCGTGAGATGAGGATTTAAGGACAAATATTTTATTTTTATGTGATGTATGATCCCAGAAGCACTGTCCCCTACTGTGGGACAGGTGAGGAAATAAAGCCAACCCGGTGCATTACTGAGCAGGTAACTGCTGTGGAAAGCTGGGCTCCATTGCACAGGTGACCTCTGGGAGGCTGTGGTACACACCTCTGGATGGGGTATTTATCCATACACTACTGTCCATCCATGGTAGACAGCTGCTCCTAGAGGCCTGCTCCTAGAGGTACCTGCCTTTAGGAGCAACTGTCAACCTGCACTGGCTGAATGCAAAAATTCTCCTCCAAGTCAGAGAAAGCTGCCTGGCAGAGAGAACATGACCTCATAGGTGCTGGGGACATTTGCTTATCATAATAGTGCTTATCATAATTATAATCTAAATCCCTCCAATAATTCTTTGTTTAATGTTTCCCTGCTGTATTAGAATGTGATCTCTCTGAAGATGGGGACAGCATCACCAATTGTATCCCCAGGATCTAGAATGGTGTCTGGTGCATGGTAGGTGTCAGTAGATACTTACTGAATCAGTGTAATCTGGAGGTTGATAGATTCATGATAAAGACCCCAGTTCTGTCTGAATACCTTCTCTATCTCTCTCTTCCTTTCTCCTCTCTCTATCTCAAGCCTAATATAGCAGAGCCTGAAAATCACTTCTAGCATCTTTTTTAAAATTTGCCTTCTTCTAGAGGATAAAAACCCAATATTTAACCTTGACTTTGGGTGCCTGGAATAAGGAGTGCTTTTCCCAGCCTCCTTTGTAGCTAGGAGTGCCTATGTGACTAAAGGGTGTAGAATTGACGACTGCCACTTTCAGGATGTGTCTTTATGGATGGGGGTGCACCCATCTCCTTCCCATTCCTCCTTCCTGCTGCTTGGAATATGGATATCATGGCTGGAGCAGCCACCTTGCATCATTAGTTGGAAACCTTGGACCAGAGAATGATGAAAGCTAGAAGATCCAGGAACCCTGATGATCAGGGAGCAGCCACTCCAACCTTGGGCTGAACCTCTGGCCTTGCTTTACATAAGAGAGCCCTTAGTTATGCCATTGTTATTTGGGGTGAGATTTTTCTGTTACTCCCAGCTAAGCAACCTAATCCTAAGTGATACCTCGAAGGTCCCTGCTAGACTGACCTCTTGGGAGTCTCAGGCGGTAGAACTAGAGCTTGCTGGAGAGGAGGGTCTCTCCTGCTGAGTGGAAGCCAGAGCCCCCTCCCACTGGCTGTCTCCCTCTCTGGGCAAAGACAGGTGCAGCCTTCCCCAGGACTCAGTTCGTTCTCTCCCCAGGAGTAGCTACTCTTACAAACTTCCTGTCCCTTTAGTCAACATGCTCCACGGTAGGTCCGAGGCTGGGCACTGCCACAACTCACCTTCCCTAAGAGTGGCATCAAGGTTCTTTGGTGGGGGATCCACTTTTCCCATCCCCACTTCTCAAGAGCCTTAGGGAAGATGCAGTCAGTGCCCTCTTGGCATTCCCTTTCCACTTGCCGCATGTAAGAAGAGAACCTGAGGGCCCCACAGCGCTTAGGGGTGGGCGTGAAAAAAGAGGCAGGTAAAATGCAGAGTCCCCAAGAAGCAGAGCAGAGAGAAAGCTAGAGAAGGCAGGAACAGCCATGGGTACATGCTATCACATATACGCAAGTTATGAGAGCAGGAGGCTGGGGCTGCTTGAGATGGCAGGGAAGCTTGCAGAAGGGCAGACTCCAGCCTCATCCCTCCCTGCCCTGCAATGCTGAAGTTCCCAGGTAGAGGGGAACCTCTAGACCCGTCGGCTGTCAGGGCTCTGCGGATCCGTTTGCTGTTGTCTCCCCACTCCCAACCCCGATATGGAGGGCCTGCCTTCAGGACAGAGCCTGGGAATGAGGAGAGGACCTGGGAAGGGGTAACCCTGGGGAAAAAAGTTCTTAGTAGTCACCCCAGGGCCTGGGGATACTTTCCAGGAGTGGCCTGCCAAGCCGAGTGACCTTGGACAAGTCCCGTCCACTCCTCGGGCCTCAGTTTCCTTTGAGGCACCTCGAATGGGCAGGGGTTGCTTTGGCTTTCCTCAGCTAGGGAACCTGGGCGGAGGTCCGGGGTGTCAGGGTGGGAGACGGGCCCGGCTGGTCGCTGAAAGCCGGCCAGGCGCTCTGTCGGCGCTCAGAGCTGGTGGCCGCCTCCAGCGCTTCCTGATCCCCAGCCGCGCTCGCTCGGAGCGCAGTGCCCACTACCTCCCGGCCCGGGATCGGCCGAGGGGTGCGGGCGGGGCGGGCCCTGGGGTCTCTGGCGGCCAGGGAGGAAGAACCCGGACCCTGCGCGGCCCCTCCCGCGGGCGGGGCGGCCCCTCGCCGGCTCCTCCCCCGCCGCCTGCCGCCCGCCGCCCGCCAGGGATCAGTCGCCGCACGCGGTTCCGCAGGTGGCAGCGATGGCCCAGTCCTGAACGCCCCGCCATGGCCGGCGCCCCCGGCCCGCTGCGCCTTGCGCTCCTACTGCTCGGGGCGGTGGGCAGGGCCGGCCCCCGCCCCCAGGTGAGACCCAGGGGCCCCGACGGCACCGGGGGAGGGGGTGGTGCGGCGGGCTGCAGGCGTAATGTCCTGGCTGGGGACCCCGGGACAGCACGAAACTCCGAGACCGCTGGCTGGGGGCATCCAAAAGCCTCGCGGGGAGTAGGGACCGGAGAGTTGGTGCCCCTGGGCTGGGAAGCCCAGGTCGGGGCTTGGATGACAGAGGATTCTCCCAGCTCCAGAGAGGCGCCCTCTTCCTGGTGGCCTGGGGCCCTCTGCCCGGGCACCCGCTGCCCCACGGCCGACCTGCGCTGACTTCTGCACCGCATCTCCTTTCTCCCAACCACTTTCCCAACTCCTTTTTCTCCTAAACCGTGTCAGCGGCCCTGGCACAGCCCGGGGTTCCCTCGGACTCCGTCCGACCCACAGTCTGCCCTGGACCCCTCTCCCGCGGTGCCTCCCCAGGCAATCCACCTGCTGAAAGACACTGAGAAGGCCCTGGGAGGGCTGTGAGGACCAGGAGACCAAGCTGCTCTCCCTTTTTCACCAGCCCCCAGCACAGCGTTTGATTCATGGCCGCGGGGACCCTGTAGTGTCAGCTTGTCCTTCCCAGTGACCTCTCAGATGGAACCTACCCCCCGTCCCCTGCCAGCCTCTGCAGCAAACAGGCAGAAGGCTCAGTGCCTCCCCTCTGGAAGCAGCCAGCCCCAACCCCACCCTCACCCACTCTGCTGACCTCTCATTCTAACCCTACACTGATCACAGAGACCAGGAGAATGCATACCGGGACACACAGGAGCACCTGGCTTCCTTGGCGCCTCCAAAGAATAGGCCACAGATAGATCACTGCAACCCCTCTCTCCTGCCCTTGCTGCCTTTCCTGTCCGGGGCTCCTGGGCTGGGGGCAGTGGTCAGCTGCTTTTGAAGAGGGGAGCTGTCCAAAGATGCTAGGACATGCTTAAGGAGAGAGGAGATATAGACTAGGGTGGCCTGTCCTGGGTCAGGAAACAGGTTCTTCCTATCACTTCCCACTGCTACCCCCAGACCTAAAGAGCTGAGATCTGTGGGGAGTGGACCTTGAAGTTTGTCCCAGAACCATTGCCTTGGTGAAGGCAGACACCACCCCAGCTGAAAACCCAGATGTGAACAGACATGCCTCTCAGCTAAGGGGCCAGCACAAGTTCAGCCTCCAGATTCTTTTCCAGACGCATCCTCTCCCTGCCCCTGTTCCCCAGCCCAGCTGCTGCCCTGAGCCCCAGGAGACGTCCTCCGCCTTGCAAGCCACCTTCCCCACAGTACCCCTAGCCAGGCCTCGGCTTTCCTAGTGTAGTTGGGATCTTTCAGGGGCCAGGGCTGCAGATCCATGACTTGGTTCTTGCTCAACGTTCCCTCCTCCTATGGACTGGATTGGGGTAGGGGTGGGAGGCTCTGCTTCCTGGTCTCATCCTGCTCCAGGCCAGGTTCACAGATCTGGTTTGAATGAAAGGAAGAAAGCAAAGGGAAGAGGAAAGTTTCTCTGGGCTATTTTCCTAGAGGCCTTATTCCCAGAAGTGTTGGGCTCCTGAACCCACACTTTCCTCTGATCCAATTTCATTCCTTAGCCCCAGGCTAGGGCAAATCTGAGCATCCTGGGGCCTTAACAGGATTGGGGTAGTAGAGAAGGTTAGGCAGGGACAGGTCCTGAGCAGAAAGGGGAACTTTGAGGGTGTGCTATTGTTATGAGGCATCTCTATGCCACAGAGATCTGAGTCACAGGGGTCTTTGAGGATAGACTGCAGAATCATGACACAACCGCATACATGCTTATAAGACTAAAAAATAGTGAATTTTGCATTTGTTTTCTGTGAAGTCAGCAGGGTTAGAGTTACTCCCCTCATGTGGCTGATGGGGGGATGAAAGCTCAGATAAAGAGGGTCCCATGTATAAAGTAGCCCAGCAGTTCAGGAGCAGGGCGGAGAAAGGCGTGAGGGGCTGGGCTCTTGACCTAACACCTCCTACTCAAACAGGGCTGAAGGGAGAAGTCTGAGAGAGAGCTGCTCACTGTCAGGTCTGGTGAGGCTGGAGGCAGCATCCCCACAGGCAGAGGGGTGGCTGAATTGACTTCTGAAAAAGTGCCCTAGGCCACTCTTTCACTGCTGCCCGCCTGGTCCTTACCTCTCCAATACCCCTGTGAGGGAGCAGGCCTACTGAGGAGATAGGCACACCTTTGACACTCAAAGTATCAGACAGAACTGGATTCAAATATAGAGTCTGCTATTATCTGGTGATCTTGAGTTGGTTACTTAAGTATCCCCAATCCATTTTGTCATCTGTAAATAGGGATCATAAGCTCTATCACACAGGATTATGGACAGGATTGAGACACTGGTGCCCCGAAATGGCAGATTTCCCCCCTTTTAGTCAAGGGGGGGAACTGACCCATTTGTCCTTGGGAATCTGGAAGTGTTTTCCAGGGCTGCAGCACAGGATGGAGAGAGGGGCTGTCGGAGACCCTGGATCTCTGTACTCTAGTGAATGGCGGATGGAATCCAGCGCTCAGCCTTGGGCAGTGTGGACTTTGTTCTAAGCTGGGCTTCCTCCTGGACAGGACCCAGGCTGGGGGCTGGGGCAGCAGCAACCAAGAAACCACATCCTGCCCTCAAATGCTTGCACCGAGGCAAAACAGGTTTCCTCAGCTGTAGCCTGCTCCTAGGAAAATTCCTATATATGTGTGTGTGTGGCATGGCGGGGGCGGGCACAGAGATAGAGACAGGTAGACTGAAACAGACTAGGGGGAGAAGGGAGTGGGCTGTATGAGCCCCCATTTCCCATGTGTATGTGAGTGACCCTGTATGTAACAGTCTGTGTGGAAATGAGTCACTGTGTGTGCAACATCTCAGCAAGCAGTTGTGCGTCTGACAGGGTCTATGTGTTTGTGACCCTGCATGTGATACTGTGTCTGTGGGAGGGTGTGTGTGTGTGTGTGTGTGTGTGTGTGTGTGTGTAGCATCTTGGTGTGTGAATGGGTGTCTACTAGTGTGTGTCTATATGTGCAAGAGAGACAATGTGCTTGTGACAGTGTCTGTGTGTTCCTCTGTGTGTGTTGGGGACAGCGACTCCGCATGTGAGTGGCAGTCTGTTAGTGATTGTGTGTGGTGGGGGAGAATCTGTGTCAGTGTCTTGGTATTGGGAATGTGCTTGGGGCGTGCGTGATGATGCATGTGACAGTGTGTCCATGTGGGGGTTTTTGTGACTGTGAGAGCATGTGTGTAGTATTCGTTTTCCTGTCCTTTTGTTCAGATATCTAAAGCCCTTAGGGGAAAAAAATGGATTGTAAGCTCTGAGCTTTAAAAAAAAAAGAAAGAAAAGAAAAACAGGGACTGTCAAAGTCAAAGAGACAGGGGTCTGTTGATTGAAGGTGTGATTTTGTGATTTGACTTCTGGGAGGTGACACAGAGGAAGGAGGTTGGGGGTCCTGGGAGGAGATGCCAGGGAACCTGCAGGGCTTGACATAGTCGGGGGCCTCCAGAAATATGAGTGGAAATCCCCCCTTCCTCCTTCTGAGAGGCCCTCCTCCATATCTCCCAGCTCGTGGCACGCAGAGGTCAAGATCTCTTTCCTCCTTCCCCTCAACCAAAATGGTCCCCCCAAAAAGGAAAGAATCTGACACATTTATTCACATTGAGAAATAGGAGGCACTTTCAGGTTGGCAGCCAGTGTTTGGAGAGGGAGATCCTCCCCAGGGTATTGGAAAGCCCGCCACCCCAGGGGCTTTGACCCCACCTACATCCTTCCCTGCTGTCCTTCCTTCGAACGCTGCCTGCTTGTATGGGGCTTGAGAAGTCACAAAGATTTTCACCTGCTTTATCTTGTTGGATCTGTGCAGTGTCTGAGAAGAGTGATGCGCCCATTTTACAGACGGCAAAACTGGCAACTGAGGAGGAAACTGAGGTCCAAAAAGATAAAGTGTGTCTCTTCAGTCCTGCATTAACAGAGCTGGGATTTAGACCAAGGATTTGTAACTCTCTGTCCAGTGCTCCTTCCTGTAGACCACGCCACTCCCTCCTGGTGTCCTCTGTTCTGTCTCCTGCTTACTCCCTTCCTGAATCTGAGGGATGCCCCCTCCTTCTTGTAACCTCCAACCCAGGCGTCCCCACGTGCCTTCCTCCACCTCAGAGAGATCCCATGAAGCCTGTCAGGTCTTGATTCTAAAAACTGCCATCCTGCGCTTACCATGGCCCGTCAGACACTCCCAACCCCTGCCCTGCTCTCCTGGTCAGCGCTGCTGCCCTGTGAGGAACGGAGACACCAGCATTGCATCCTCCCACTCCCCAGCACCACAGCGCCACCTTGTCAGGCTTGCAGCAGGGACTTACGTTGTGGGAGGATTAAACGGAGGGTGGGGCACACAGGTGGGCAGCACCTTGCCCCTTCTCACATGGAGTGGGGTCCCAAGCCTCCTCCCTACCTCATTTTGCCATTGGCTGGAAGATATCACAAATTAAGCAGAATGATTGGTCATGGGACATGAAAATATATTCATTTCTTCTTTCTGGAAGTTTGTTGATCCTAGAAATGAGAAAGGGGTGCGGACCCACTTCCCAGGAACCCCGGTCACTCCCTCCCACTCTGCCCTTTCCTCTAAACAGCAGAAACCATGGGGGTAGCCGCCATTGACTGGGCCTGCTCCATGTGCCGGCCATCCTAAGCTTTAACTCAGTCCTCGCAGCGATCCTATCGGGGAGTGGGTGTTGTTCCGGTCTGCACAAGTGTGAGCTGAGGCTAAAACGTAAAACTCAGTTGCAAACCTGATGTCTGGGTGAGCCAGGTCCAGGCCCAGATCTGAGCCCAAGGCCAGGGCTATTCAGCCTCCACTATGATACCTGGGCTCCCAGGCCCTGTGGCACCGGGTGGCCCCAGCCTCACTTACCCCAGCCAGATCGCAGCCTCCCATCTGTCCCAGGGCCCACCACCACTCTCTCCCTGCCCCCCAAAATCCTCCTGACCATAGTTCACAGCTCTCCTCTGCTCATTGGATCACCGATGTCCCCATCTCTGTGTCTTTTCCCTGCGGTGTCCTCCTGCTGAAATGCCCACCCTCCTCCTTGCTAGCCCAGTCTGTCCCCAACTCCCTTTACTCCAGCCCCACCTCCCAGTCCCCAGTACCCCAGGCCTCTTGAGTCTACACTGAGCCCCTCCCCACCCACTCCCTGAGCTCGTTCACCCACTGCCTCCCTTGTGAGGTCACTTGTCCTGTACAGCATTGACCCTGACCCCGAAGTAGCCTGAGGACTCTCTCAGGCCAGGGCTCCTTCAGTCACCTTTATACTCCCTGTGTTCCCTCCCCTCCCCTCACGACCACCCAGAGCCTGTCACAGTTATGGTTTCTATAAATATGAGGCGTGGGAGAGATGACAGTCTGGGTAGTTCGTACTGTGTGTGCACCTGCAGGGGTGGGATGAAGGCTCAAATGTATTTAGAAACCCTGATCTGGTGCAGGGAGGGGACAAGATGCTCCTATTGTCAGGAATCCCCTACCTAAGAGGGAGTCACATCCCCTTCCTCAGGGAGCCCCAGTCTGAGGGGAGACACAGCCACATCCTCAGGGAGCCCCAGTCTGAGGGGGACGCAGCCCCGTCCTCAGGGAGCCCCAGTCTGAAGATAGTTTTATGTCCACAGCTCTGCTCAGAGTAGGTGACAGCACTGCCCTGGGGTGTGTGTGTGTGTGTGGCAGGGGGCCAGATTGGCCTTCATGGCACTGTCATCACCCCTCCCCCACCTCTGGGGAGAACTGGCTTCCACAGCCTCTCTCCCTGCCCCAGACACACCTTCTGCCCAAGTTCCCAGCAGTGACCTTGCGTGTTGTCTGCTCTCATTCTAGAAACAGAAACTGAGGAGGATTTCTCCGTCTCTCTGCCCCCCACCCCCAGCAGCTGCTGCATTTAGGAGCAGCGTTTGAGAGCCCTTTACCAGGAGAAGAAGGGAGAAGGGAGAAGGGAGAGGGGTGGGACGGCAGGGTGATCCACCTGGACTTGCCCTGATGAAAACTGTGCCGCCTCCTCAGCTGTGGCTAAAATCACAGACAACAACTTTGCAGCTGTTATGTTTGGTTTCTTATTCTTTTTTTTCCCCAAACAAATACAGTTGAGCTTCGCCCTCAGAAGAGCTCTGTCCTTCAGGGTAGCCCCTGCAGCCTCAGCACACACATACCACGGATGCTGCTGGGGCTGAACGTGAGCTGGGCCCCCACATGGGACCTCTGAGGCTGTGGGGGGTGAGGAAGGCGACCCGAGTCTCTAAGGGGGTGCATGATAAACCAGCTAGAACCAGGGGGGAGTACCCCCAGAGCAGATTCAGCGTGTGCTTAACACGCTACAAGGTAAGGGGTCAAGCTTCCAAAGAAGAAGCTGTTTTAATTTCAGCACGTGTGGACATTTTTGTGATTTCAAATAGCAAAATGTTTTAAATTATGTATAGGTCCTAAATTTTACACATGGGGCTTTTGGTTCATTTCAGGATCTGCAGCCTTTAAAGGACTAATATTTATAATTTTTAAGGCTGTTCAGGAAGAATAAAAAATGAACCATAATCCCAAGACATAGCCGAAGGAAGTGCACAAAGATGTTCAGAAGGAACGGTGGATTCTCAGTGGGATGGGTCTGTTTGGGTCTGTGTGCTAAGCCATTTCCATGACCTTACTGGAAGTTGAGGCTCATCTCTCCCTACTCACAGGCAGTGGGGGAGCCCTCCCACTGCAGGCGTGACTTTCAGTGTTCTGGAACCTCCCTGACCCCTTCATCTCACATCCTCAGGACTCTGCCTTCTGGTGGATAGAAGCTGGGTTGAATATTAGATTTGGGTTGTTGTGTCAGAGGGGAGCATAGTGGGGGAGGGGGTTGTGTTGAGTGCGTTTGTAAATGAGTGCATTTTGGAAGAGGAATGCTAATGGTGGACATCCCTGCTCTGTAGCCCTGAACGCTGCCTCCCGCTACCCCCTGCACACCCTCCGATATTTCACCATGGTCACTGATCTGAAGGACTTCAGATTCTAGCCTTCACTCTGGTTCCTGGGAGGCCATGCATCCTTGATTCAGTTTCTCTCCCACTCCAGTCTGTGTGTCTTCTAGAATGGTTGAAAGTGCAAGAGGCCGGCGGTCGGGTGCAGTGGCTCACACCTATAATCCCAGCACTTTGAGAGGCTAAGGCAGGGAGATTACCTGTAGTCAGGAGTTCGGGACCAGCCTGGGCAACATGGTGAAACCCGGTCTCTACTAAAATACAAAAAAAAAAAAAAATTAGCCAGGCATAGCAGCATGCGCCTGTAGTCCCAGCTACTCAGGAGGCTGAGGCAGGAGAATTGCTTGAACCTGGGAGGCAGAGGTCGCAGTGAGCCGAGATCGCGCCATTGCACTCCAGCCTGGGTAACAGAGTGAGACTCCATCTCAAAAAAAAAAAAAAAAAAAGAAGGAAGGAAGGAAGGAAAGAAAGAGAAAGGAAAAGAAAGAAAGAAAGAAAGTGAGAGAGAAAGAAAGAAAGAAAGAAAGAAAGGAAGAAAGAAGAAGCCCTCAGGCAGGCTGACTAGGCACCAGAAGGAGGAGAGCTCAGAGTCCTGATCCCTCAGAAAGTCTTTCTCCTAAGAGATCAGAGACTAGGAATGAGACACACTCTTCTCTCCTCCTTCATCCACCCACCTCCCCAAAAGCACCAATTTAGCAGACATTTGCTGGGTACTTGTGACGCCTCAAGCTGTGCGCCAGTCCCCTGGGAGAAATGAAGATGTCAGAGGATCCACCTGGAGCCCCTGGGTGGCAGTGACTTATTCTCACTCTCTTTCAGAAATGGCGGATCCCTGGCAGAGTTTGGGCTTTGAGGTTTCGTAGAGATCGAGAAACCAAGTATATTAGGGGGTGAGGGGTCACGAGAGGGGCAGACTGAACCCACAGGCCTCCCATGTATGCCCTCCCCCCAGGGTGCTCCTGTGTCCCTCTTGGAGACAATGCAGAAATGGGAAGAATATCAACGCCAGTGCCAGCGCAACCTGAGTGAGGCTCCACCTCCTGCCACAGGTGAGTCCAGGTGGGCTCCCATCTTTAGTGCTCCCCACCCAACCAACACCTGGAGGACTTTGAGGAACCCCACATCCATGGCTGGGAGTCATTTGCCTCTCTGGGACACCACCCCTGCCCTCCGCCTTCATCTCATTGTCCAAGCCGAGTGCCTCGCCCGGATGCTTTCCTTTCTACCAACCAAAATCCTCCCATTCTTCAAAGTCTGCAGAAGCGCTACCTCCTCCAGAAAATCTTATCCAGGACCTCTGCCATCATTTGGCTCTGACTCGTTTGCTGTAGTCAGCTTCGGGGTTGCTGTGTTATTTCTGTCTTAGCCGTCTTACCTACGTGTGCCCCGCCCCACCCCAGCGAGCCTCCTAGCTAGAGCATCTCAGAGCGGGGACCCGACCTTTGCGTTTCCAGCCGGTGCGTGGACTGAGGGCTCCACAGACATTTATAGGAATAAGTGCTTTAGGGAGTTCATGAGGTGGTTTTAAAAGAGCATGGGATCAGAGCCCGGTGGGCCTGGGTTGAAATCCTGACTGTAATTATGACACGTGACCTAAAGAAGGTTATCTCAGGTGAGATCAGAGGGAAGTGAGGTAATATTTCCCTCTGATCTGTGAAGTGCAATTTAAGAATAGGCCTAGAGGGATTGTTTGTTGAGCACTTACTATGTTCCCTTATCTGTGTAACATACAGTCTTGATCCCACAAAGCCCTGTGGGGCTGGAAATACTCCTGTTTCACAGATGAGGAAACAGACATTAAGTTACTTGCTCAAGGTCCTGCCACTGATAAGCGGCAAGTGCCCCTGCTTGGCTCTTGCTGGGTGGGGAAAGGACCTGGCATACAGTAAGCACTCAGCAGAGGTTAGTGGCATGCAGCCTCCGACGAGGGGAGGGGTCTTGGGGAAGGGAGGGAAGGTACCCTGGCTAGCTGCAGGCAGGGACTCCAAGACTCTTCTCTCTCCTCCCAGGCCTGTTCTGCAACCGGAGCTTCGATGGCTACGCCTGCTGGCCAGATGGGCCTCCAGGTTCCTTCGTGAATGTCAGCTGTCCCTGGTACCTGCCCTGGGCCAGCAGTGGTGAGCACCTGCCTCACTCCGCCTTTCCTTGTATCCAGGAGGCTGGGTAGAGGCGCTGCTTCCTTTCCTCTGAGACACAGCCCTCCCCGCTCAGAATGTCTTTAGCCCTCCTAGTGAGTGGTCACCACTGGGGTGGAAAGAACAGTCAGCAGTGGTGTCAGGATGGCCTGAGGTGCCACTTGGGCCTGGGCACAAGGCCAGTGCTGGCAGGTGTGTGGGGAAGGGAAAGTATGGGTCTGAAGAGAGAAACACAATCTCCTCCAATCCAGCAGTCAGGAAAGGAGCTAGGTGAGAACAGACCCTTGCGGGGAGGGGAGATACACAGGGTGTCATGGCTCTGCTGTGTGTATACATGTATGCGTGATATGTGTATGCAGGTAGCCCATTACCTGGCAGTGACATCTAGCTACCTCCTCACTCTTTAGGGGTTCACTGGGAGCAGTGATCAGGGTGCTGGTGGGGTGACCAACCCCACCAGCCTCAGCCCTCCCCAGCTCACTCCTGCCTGCAGGGGGGACCCTGTACTGGGAAAGGTGTGACTGGATAGGTGGGAAGGTCATTGGGGGTACAGAGATTTGCAGAGGCTGCGGGAGGATCCCTGACTGGAGGATAAGTTAATGTGCCCCCCTGTCTATCTCAGCCTCTCTTGCAAGTCCAGTCCTACCCAGGCACCACGGGGGATAACAGGATACAAGCACCCTCATGGCAAGGAGCTCCCAGTCTCCATAAGAGGAGAAAAGATATTTCCCTATCGTCATCATCATCATCATCATCATCATCATCAGTATTTATTGAGTACCTACTGTGTGCCAAGTCCTGCCCTAAAAGCAGAACTTTGTAACTACCCTGTAGTTATGCCTGCTGAACAGATGAGGAAACTGAAGCACTAAAGGTTTAAGTCACTTGTGCCAAATGACGTGGTCAATGACAGAGCCAGGATTTGAATTCAGTTCATGCTCTTATCATCATTCCTTGAAGGGGCCTCAGCCCAAGCAGCAAGTGGCCCAGAAGCAAGTGCGAGCATGAGGTTATGCTGTGGAGAAGCCAGGAGTCTTCCTGGAGGTGGTGGCCTGGTGGGGCCCAATGTAAGCTTCACCTCAGCGCGTGGGACTGAAGTCAGATGAAGGCCAGGCAGGTCTCCTACACGTGCTGTCTCCTTGTCTGCCCTCACAGTACACTCACCTCTCCCCAGGGAGCAGGGAGAGGCAGATGCCTGGGCACATCAGGGACCTGCCTTCTCCACTGCTGCCTGTCGGAAGCTCTTTCCACGCTACACTCTTTTCATCCTCGCAATCCTCCCAGGCAAGTCCTCTGATTACCCTCCCATTTTCAGATGAGGAAACCGAGGCACAGAGATGCTCAGTGGCTTTTGCAAGCTCACACAGCCATTAGTGGGCGACCCAGAAGGTTGGTTTAGAGTCATCATGGCTAACTGCTACACCAAAGGCTTCCTTGGGGGTGTGTACGTGCCCTTGTCTGTGGCTCTGGCCTGGAGACAGGTGAGGGGTCTGGGTGCCCTCTGCTGTCTGGGCATACCTCTAGAGAGGGGGATGTGCTGTCTGCCTTCTCCTTATGAACTCTGCCATCTGGTGGTTCTGCTGGCTGGCTGCGTGAGCAGGAACAACTTACCAGACCTCTCTGTGACTTGGTTGACTCATCTGGGAGATGCAATAGAGCCAAGTGACATGGGTGTGGGGACTGCAGGGCCTTGAAAAATGGTAGCTGTTAATTTTTCCCACCTCCCTACCTGCCTCCCTGACTTCCTGTAATACACGTTTTCTCTGCCTCCCAAAGATTTGAGACTGGCAGCTCGGCCAACGTCTGCTGGGCCTCTAGACCCCAGGGAGCCAGGCGCAGGACAGGGCCCATCACTCAACACTAAGCCGCCCCCAGCTCTGCCTGCTGCTTGCAGCTCCATCCATCACCTTTAATTTTATTTGAGCAGGAAATAGGTCCTGGTGGTGCCCGTTTATGAGTGAACATGGTTTTATTGCTTTCTCCATGAAGATAACGGCCACAGCACAGGCCCCCTGCCAGCCTTTCCCCCACCTCTTCCCCCCGCCCCTTGCCAGGCTAATTTACTCCCTTTTTTGACACTTGGAATCGCCAACTCTGCCTCTCTCCCTACTCCCTGAGTTAGGGAAGCACAGAGATACCCAACACAGGCTCAAGCTGTATCATTGCTGTCTCTGGCCTTTCCTGGAGCTTTCCTTGGCAGAGGGTGGCTGTGGGGGCTTCCCTGATCCCCACCCACATGTGTGGGAGCAGGAAAGGGACAGTTCTGGAGTGTTCTTGGGCTGATCAAGGGAGTCTCCTGTGGAGAAACGTGACAGTGTGCACTGGTGTCAGGGAGAAGGAAAGGGGTTATATCAGGCAGGGTCCTGGCAGAAAACATGCTCAGCTGGCAATCTAGATGGAATTTAAGTGGAAGGGGGTGCTTTTCAGAGGCTGGACAAGGTAAAGGGACCAATAAGGCATATAAAGCACCAGGGACTACAACGATGGGAAGCTTCAGCACCCCTAGACCTGAGAAGTAAGGGACAAGAATGGAGCTGGGGTTCCCCATGACAGCTGGGCTACAATGGAGAAGCCACCCAGCAGGGCTGTGGCCACAGAAGGGCAAAGCCACTGCCAGACCTCAAATCAACGCAGGGAGGGAGCAGGGGAGAATACCCAGCCTCTCTCTCCTGCCCTTCTATCTTCTACCAGTGCCTCCCTCTGGCCCAAACCAACGGAGGCCAGGGAGGCCAAGGGGTGCTGTCCCGTGGCTCAGTCTTCTGGAGTTCAGAGTGGAGCAGAGGAGTGGGTGACCTGAGAAAGAGCAAAAGTCAAAACAATCACCAGATCCCTGAGCTGGGTCACGTCAGGAGCTGGGGGTGCCACTGAGACCTTAGAGGTGTGTGTGTGTGGTGGGGGGAGAAGAGGTAACCCCCCTCCATGGGGCTGAAGGGATCGGCTCAGCAGCCCAGGCAGTGGTACTGAGGGAGGCTAGAGCCACCCTTCTGCCAAGAGTGTGGCATTAGGAAGGCTTCTAGGAACAGGTGGCACTGGGGCCAGGCCTGAAAGAACAGGCCGATGCAGAAGGGAAAAGGGAGCTCCCCAAGGGAGGAAGGGATCCAGGTAGCACCTTGGACATGGGGCCAGGCCATGGGCCTCGGAACTACACTGTCCTAGAGAAGCCAGCCAAGCCCTTGAATTCTGACCCCTCCAATTGAGACTTTGGGACTCAGGATCGTGCCAAGAGAGCTGGAGCAGCTGAGTCAAAGATGGAAGATGTTCAAAGAAAACACCTGGTGCAAACAAGACTGCGAAGAGGAGGCTGAAGTGGCTTCAGAGAGCCCATTGGCCGCCGGAGGGCCCTTCAGCAGCCTCGTTTACCCATAAACAGCTCATCTGCTTGTTACGGATCATTCCAGCCTCGTTAGCTACACCCCCTCCTGATGCCTACCTCTCTGTTAGCTTAGTTCTAATTATTTGAGAGTCATAAAATCCTTCTGAAATAACCTATAACACAATTCTGGAAACTCTGGTGGGTGCCTCCCTGAGTAATGTCTTGCAGGGGGCTTTTACAATAGCCTGGGGTTGCCAAGGGGAGACTGAGGCCCAAGCTTGGCTCCTGAGGAGTTCTGGCTGAAGTGGTGTCACAAGCTCCATCTCTAGCCTCGGTGAAGGAGTTCCTCTTCGAGAAATCGGTGTGGGAGAGGATGCTTCCAAGGCCTACTATATAGCAGGCATAGCGGGCACTTCACATGCTTTATCTTCTGGGAAGTCATTATGGCTCCCATTTTACAGATGAGGAAACTGAGGCCTGGGGAGGTAAAGGGACATGCCCAACATCCCCCAGCTGGTTGAAGGCAGAACCAGGATCTGAACTTGAGTCTGTGCTGTTCAGAACCTGACCTCCTTCTCCTAAGCTCTGATACTCCACACTACCCTTCACCCTGGCCCTGAGCTGATGCCTCCATTTCGAGCCTGGCCTTTGACCCTCATCCCATTCTCTTGGGGAGGGCCTGTGCCTGGACTTTCTGAGTCTCAGCTTCTGCATCTGTAAAATGGAGGCCCAGCAGTCCTTGCTGGCCACCTCGTTGCCAGGGTGCAGGAGCTAATGGATTCATGAGCAGCTCTCCACAGCCCTGAGTGCCAGCATCCACGTGGAAGGGCGGCTGTTAGCTTGATTACAGGCACCGCAGCAGCTTCCGGGAGGGTAAGTGTTTAATTGGGGGTTTTATTTCCAGCAGCAGGGTCTGGCTTAATGAAATATCCCTGGGCCTCCTGGCATGTGGCTGCCCGGCTGCCTCCCTGTGTTGTTGACAAGCCTTGAGCCAAATACCTGGCTGTGATTTACCAGCTCCTCCTAAGCCAAATAAAGCGGGGCTGATAAGTAGGGCTATGCCCTGACCCACCCCACCTCCAGCAGAGATGGATGTCTGGGGACCATGGGCCCAGCCAGGAACCAGCCTGGCTTTTAATATTTGATGCTAATGAAGGGTAATTGGCAGATGCACTCGCACAGGCTCGCTGAGCAAGGGACACAGTGATCCTTTGACTCTGTGCCAGTAATGCACACATCTGTGCACACACCACCTCCCTACCCTCCCAGCTGGCTCTGAACAGAGGGTGCAGCTGTCGGGGGTCTGTGCTGGCAAGGGGACCTGCTGGGAGGAGACTGAGTGTTGAGAAATCCGAACCCAGAGGAAGGGCAAAGGAGAATGGCACATGGCACATTCTTCCTTATTAGCAGCAGGTTTGGCTGCTAACTTTAGGCCTCTGGAGGCAAAGAGCTGGAGGATTTAGTCCTGACTCTGCTACTTTCTAGCGGATGACCTTAGGCAAGTCACTTGGCTTCTCAGAGGCTCAGTTTCTTCATATGTAAAATGGGACTAACCCCTACCTTGAAAAGTGGTTATAATGTGCAAAGGTGTCAGGTGTACAGTAGGTATTCAAAAGCTGATTCTGTGAAGGCACAGCCCCTGGAAAGAGCATGTAAGGAGCATGTAGTGAGGGAACCTGCAACAAGGCAGTGCCTACTGTATTCCAGGCCCTGTGCCAGCTGTGGGAAGTGGGTCTTACTAGCATCACACGGTTGCAGGCTGCGTCCTGGGTATATGGGTCTTTAGATGGTTTGTGTGCCTGCAGTTCCGTGGCTGTGTCTTCTTTTCCCTGGCCCCTCAACCTTCTTCCTTTCTCCCCATTTCCTCCCATCAAACCAGGCTGCTCAAGCAGGCTCTGACACCATCTCATTCCACATGGGGTCCCATCACAGCTTTTGCGGGTCTCTACAGAACACTGGGTTTGCCTCATGTCAGAAGACTTGGCCCCATGAAAAATCTCAGGCATCCATGCAGCAGATAAAACAGGCATTTGGGGGACCTTCACATTGCTGAAATCAGACCATGTGCCTCTCCTTCCCTGCCATTGGGGATACTCCTCATTTTGTTCATAAATGCCTTTGAAGGCTATTGGAACATGGTTCTCACTGCTGTAAGTTCCATTATACTTTCAGGTTTTTGTGTTTCTTCCAGGTGAAGTCTCTTTTAAACTGCAGGCTCTTCCAGAAGGAGTCATGCTGCAAGCTGACTCAACCCGCTGGGTTACCAGATAATTTCTGTGTCCTGAAGAGGGGCCTGCCTGGTTCAGGGTTGGTTTGGGAAAGAAGCTGGGAGGGAGGAGAAGAAAGAGCAGGGAGGCTGTTCTGGTGTCTGGGATCAGGGTTAGGCAAGGGCAAGGTCCATTGGCAGGCCTTGCTGACAGTGCTGGAAGAGGGCTGTCACCAGACTCTGTAGTAAATTTGTCACTGCCACATTTTTCACTGGGACGAAAAATAGAACCCCCAGTCTAGATGGTTGCCTGTGTCCTGGGCCCCTGAGGGGCAGGCCCTGGGGGCTGCCACACACCTAATCACACACACACACACACACACACACAGACACCCCACATATTAATGAAGCCTCTTCTCAGGAGACCCAGTTCTTTTGTTGTTGTTGAAACAGAATCTCACTTTGTTGCCCAGGCTGGAATGCAGTGGCTCGATCTTAGCTCACTACAGCCTCCGCCTCCCAGGTTCAAGTGATTTTTGTGCCTCAGCCTCCTGAGTAGCTGGGACTATTGGCTAATTTTTTGTATTTTTAGTAGAGATGGGTTTTCTCCATATTGCCAGGGTTGGTCTTCAACTCCTGAGCTCAGGCAATCCGCCCGCCTCAGCCTCCCAAAGTTCTGGGACTACAGCTGTGAGCCACTGTGCCCAGCTGACACCCAGTTCTGACTCCTGTCTCTCCACAGGAACACTGACCAGCTGCTGCTCCCTTGGCCTCTGGTGCCTTCTCCATTCTCTGGCCTTCACTCCCTCCTTTCTCCCACAGCTGGGGAAACTGCTCTTTAAAATCTTCTAGTGTTTTGGAAGGCTGACGTCTTTTAAAGTTTGTCCTGGCTGCAGCTCCCCTCCTTGGTCCCCCTGTGCCCCCTACAGGCCAGTGTCCTCCCCACCCTCTCATTGTGCCCTTTTGTCTCAAGTTCCTTGGCCCTGGTGTCGGACTGAAGTTCCTCTGCCGGGAGACCAGGAATGAGGCATTTCCTCGTGGATGCAGGTAAACAGTGGCCTCTATCAGCCTCACAGCAAACCTGAGGCCAAGACCAGGCATCTCCCTAGCAGGTGGACATGGGACATGGTGGGGGACAGCCTCTGCTGGGATGCCAATGTGCACAGGCAGTGCCCTGCCTCGTTTCTGCAGGGCCTGCATTTGATCTCTGAATCTATGCCCTTCCTTTCTGAGATCTTTCTTGTTTTTTGTTTTTGTTTTTGTTTTTGTTTTTTTTTTTCTGTGTGAGTCTTAATTCTCTGAAGCCAGGGACTGTGCCACCATCCTCAGACAGGGAGCTCCCTGAGGGAAGGGTCTGGATCCCTTTCCTCTCCCCAAGGGCTATCTCCATTTCCAACATATAATTAGAGGCTCAGTGAAGATAGGAGCGGGATCTTCCCCTTTTCTATGGGGAATCTCCACAGGCCAAGGCTGCCTATGTACCATGAGGCTGTATACTCTTCTCAGACCTGGAGGTCCTTGAGGGTAGGTCTGTGTCTCCTCCATCAGATTGGGACTTCTAATGGGGAGGGCTGTGTGTGTGTCTCTCTCAGATCAGTGCTCTGCCTCTCTTCCCTTCTCTTGGGAACTCAGTGCCAACCTTGTTCCCAGGGTCTGCTTTCCCCAAGCAGTGTGGGAGGGAGGTGGGGGCTGAGTTCTGAAAATCAGAAATAGCGAGCCACTGTGGGGCCAGCACGGCGCCAGACCTTGTCAGGAGCGTGATTTGAGGCTGGAGACAGGGACGTGGAACTGAGCTAAACTCGTCTCACTTCAAAGACATGAATTCACTAAACTGTGTCCTAGGTTGGCTGAGAGGCAGGGCTGAGGGTGGGGCTGAGGAGCCCCTACCTTGGTGACCCCCGTCTTGTCCCTGGACCAACAGGGTGTATGTCAGGGGAGGAAGGTCCAGGGGTGTATGTGTGGGTGTGGGTGTGGGTATGTGAAGGAGGGAAAAGGATGTCACTAACTCAGAGGGGTCAGTTCTCGGGGAGCAGGAATGGCCCTCAGGATGGAGAGGAAGGGAGGCATCTAGCACTGGGCAGGCTGCCCTATTCTGGGCTGAGGCTCAGGGCCAGGTCTCCCCACCCCAGTGCTACAGGGCCATGTGTACCGGTTCTGCACAGCTGAGGGCCTCTGGCTGCACAAGGACAACTCCAGCCTGCCCTGGAGGGACTTGTCGGAGTGCCTGGAGTCCAAGCGAGGGGAGAGAGTGAGTTGAGGAAGGGTTCTGAGCCAGGGAGGTGGGGAGCAGTGTCTTGGCTTCACTGGAGCAAAGACTCTTGGCTTTGGTGGGGGCATCTGTGGCCATTCCATTCATCCCCCTGCCTCTGGGGGCTTTGCACACAAAGGTGGTGTGTATTCACCTCTCTGGCCTTGGAACGGGACCCAAGACATCCAAGAGCCATCGCTGTAGGTTATGGTTATTCTCTTTCTGGTCTTGGTATCCCCCGTGAGTCCTGACTTGGGGCCCCAGCTCTGCCTCTGTCCCATGGGAAGGAAGACTGTGTGGGGAGAGGTCCATGGGCTGCCCATGTACACTTACGTTCCCCGTGTCCCACAGAGCTCGCCGGAGGAGCAGCTCCTGTCCCTCTACATCATCTACACGGTGGGCTATGCACTCTCCTTCTCTGCTCTGGTCATCGCCTCTGCGATCCTCCTTGGCTTCAGGTAAGGTGGCCCAGACCCTGGGAGGGGCTGCTTCATCCTAGCTTTCCCGGATGGAGGAGGAGTTAGGATGAAGCAGCCCAGCTCGATATCAAAGCAACAGCGCAGCACCGTCTTTCTCTCAAGAGCTCTCTAGAGAGGCCTTACCATAGAATATGAGGTTGAAAACACAGGATATGATACTGTGTTCTCAGTCTAGTCTCCACTATGAAAATGTGTGCATATGAGCTGCAAAAAAGAACGAAAATACCACACATGCACCGCCAACCTCAAAACCTTAACTGTGGGTGATGGGGTTATGGAAAATCCCAGGAGATCTTCTCCAGTGAATATGTGTTGCTTTAACAATCAAGAATGTAGTGTGATTTTAGAAAAGATCTTGGGGATTAGAGATCGTCCTTCCTTTGGAGCTTTTCGGCCCCAGTGGAAACGTTCCTCCTTAGGTCTAACCTAGATAATTTGGTCCTCCCAGACTAAGAGCTGGGAACAGAGTACTAGGTTCTTCCAGCTCCTTTGCACTTGGTGGAGGTGGGACAGGGGGCCTAGGTTCAAAGAGGGGGGAGTCTGGGGGAATGAGACCTCAGGACACCAGGCAGCAAGAGCAGGAGAGGTGGCATTCCCCCTCTCACCTTCAAGGCACCTGGCACAGTCCTGGGCACGTGGTGCTCAATAAATGCATTCATTCAATGAATATTCTACTCTTTTATTATGAATTATTTCAGCAATTTGAAAATTCAATGACGATATTATGATCACTCATGCACATACCATCCAGCCTAAGAACACATCCCATAGTTATACTTCTCTGGGTAACCCTCTCTAATCACATCCCTCTCCCTGCCCTACTCCCATCAGAGCCCTGAATGTGCCTCTTTTAATTCCCACACATTTCCTTGTACTTTTACCACATCCATGAATAGCTATAGAAATATATAGCATGGTTCTATGTATTTTTAATAGTGTGTTGAACATATTTGTCTTAGTCTATTCCTGCTGCTGTAGCAAAATACCTTAGACTGGGTGGTTTATAAATAATAGAAATGTATTCCTCACAGTTCTGAAGGCTGTGAAGTCCAAGATCAAGGCATCAGCAGATTCCGTGTCTAGTAAGTGCTCGTCCTCTCTTTCCAAGATGGCACCTTCTCACTGTGTCCTCACGTGGCAGAAGGGCAAATGGGTGAAAAGCACTCACAAACACCCTCGGGCCTCTTTTAAAAGGTACTAATCCCATTTGTGAGGGCAGAGCCTTCATCAACCTAATTACCTAAAGGCCTCACCTTTTCATACGATTGTCTCCGGGACTAAGTTTCAATATGAATTTTAGAGTGATACAACATTCAGACCATAGCGTTCTGCCCCTGGCCTCCCCAAATTCCTGTCCTTCTCACATCCAAAGTACACTCATTTAATCCCAATAGCCCCGAAGTCTTAATTCATTCCAGCATTAACTTTAAGGTCTAAGTCCAAAGTCTCATCTAAATGTCATTTAAATCAGATATGAGTGAGACTCAAGGGATGATTCCTCCTGAAGGAAATTTCTCTCTAGCTGTGAACTTATGACATCACAGAAGTTACGTGTTTCCAAAATGAAATGGTGGGGCAGGCATTTTCATTTCATGGGACAGACATTCTCATTTCAAAAGGGAGCCATAGGGCCAGGTGTGGTATAACTCAGGGATGACCTGAGTTCTGTTTGGACCCACTTGAGCCACAGCTAGGATGGCCAAGGAGCACTGCACCCAAGTGTAGGGAGCAGAGACAGGAGGTGGCCCTGGGCGGTGACTCCCAGTGTCTCACACTGTCCTGGGCCCCTCCCCTCAAACTGTTCTGCTCCCAAGGCCCTGACATCTGGACCTAAGGTCTCTGAAATGCATTCAGGGTCATTCTTCCATTTTCTGGATGAATAGCACCTGGCTTTCTTCTATCCATACTAATCTTATCAAACGTTCACCAGGCCACACCCTTGGTATGGTCTTCTGAACATGCTTTTGCATTCTTTACAATATGGCCAGACTGAGAATTTTCCAAATCTTTAGGTTCTGCTTCTCTTTTGATTATAAATTCATCTTTCATTTCTCTCTTCTCATATTCTGCTATAAGCAGTCAAGAGAAGCCATGCAGTACCCTCAATACTTTGTTTAGAGATTTCTTCTACCAAATGTCCTAATTTCATTGCTCATGAATCCTTGCTTCCACAAAACACTTGGACATAGACACAATTCAGCCAAGTTCTCTGCCACTTTATAACAAAGATGGCCTTTCCTCTGATCTCCAATGCCATGCTCCTCATTTCTGTCTCAGACCTCATCAGAATGGCCTTTACTGTTCCTATTTCTCTTTTTTACTTTTTTTTTTTTTTTTTTTTTTTTTTAGATGGAGTTTCGCTCTTGTTACCCAGGCTGGAATGCAATGGTGCGATCTCGGCTCACTGCAACCTCCACCTCCTGGGTTCAGGCAATTCTCCTGCCTCAGCCTCCTGAGTAGCTGGGATTACAGGCAAGCACCACCATGCCCAGCTGATTTTTTGTATTTTTAGTAGAGACGGGGTTTCACCATGTTGGCCAGGATGGTCTCGATCTCTCAATCTCGTGATCCACCTGCCTTGGCCTCCCAAAGTGCTGGGATTACAGGAATGAGCCACCACACCAAGCCCTACTGTTCCTATTTCTACCATTATTATGTTTACAGCCTCTTAGATAATCTCTACAAATATTGAAACTTTCTACGTAGCTCTCATCATCTTCTGAGCCCTCACCAGAATCATCCTGTATGGCCCATTTGCGGCAATGTAGACTTTTTCTAGCCTGCTTCTCCAAATTCTTCCAGTTTCTGCCCACCACCAAGTTCCAAAGCTACTTCTATGTTTTAGGTATTTATTACATGGCACCCCATTCTCAGTACCAATTTCTGTCTTAGTCTTTGCCTGCTGTTATAACAAAATACCTTAGACTGGGTAAGTTTTGAGTGATAGAAATTTATTTCTCGCAATTTAGAGGGTGGGAAGTCCAAGATCAAGGCACCAGCAGGTGTGATGTCTAGTAAGGGCTTGCTCTCTGCTTCTGAGATGGTGTCTTCTCACTGTGTCCTCACATGGTGGGGAAGGGGTGAACACCATGCCCTTGCATCACAGAAGGCAAAAGGCCAAAAAGGCTTACAAACTCACGAAGGCCTCTTTTATAAGAGCACTAATCCCATTCTTGAGATCGGAGCCCTCATGATCTAATCATCTTCTGAAGGCTTCACCTCTTAATACTATTATTGCATTGGGGCTTAAGTTTTAACATGAATTTTGGACAAACACAACATTCAAATTGTAGACTTTTTTTTTTTTTTTTTTTTTTTTTTGAGACGGAGTTTCGCTCTTGTTACCCAGGCTGGAGTGCAATGGCGCGATCTCGGCTCACCGCAACCTCCGCCTCCTGGGCTCAGGCAATTCTCCTGCCTCAGCCTCCTAAGTAGCTGGGATTACAGGCACGCGCCACCACGCCCAGCTAGTTTTTTGTATTTTTAGTAGAGACAGGGTTTCACCATGTTGGCCAAGATGATCTCGATCTCTTGACCTCGTGATCCACCTGCCTCGGCCTCCCAAAGTGCTGGGATTATAGGCATGAGCCACCGCGCCCGGCCCGTAGACATATTTTTCTGTAATTTTTTTGGTCCAATGTTATGTTTTTGTGAGATTTATTCACATTGATGCAAGTAGTCCTGTTTTGTGGATTTTTAACTGCCAGTCCATATTCCATTGCATAATACAGCACAGTTTATCCGTTATCCTTTTAATGGACATGTGAGTTGTTTTCTTTTTTTGTCTTTCTGAATTGCAAATGTTGGTGCAATGAACATTCTTACTTGTGCATTTCTCTGGGCCATATAACCAGGAGTAGAATTGCCAGATCTGACTATCACCTGCTTTTGCAATTTTTCTAGGTGTAAACTTACACTTCACAGTGGTCACACCAGTTTCCCTTCTAACAAGTAATAAAAGACAGCTTCCTTTGGGTAGCCTTATCACCAGTATTTAGTGTTTTCAGACTTAACTGCTGCTAACCTGAAATATGTGAAATTGTGTCATGATTTTAATTTGCATATTCAGGATTCTTAGAGAGAGCAAGCATTTTTCGTGATTTCTTCTATGAATTGCTTTTTTATATCCTTTGCTTACTGTTTCATTGGCTTATTTGAATTTTTCTTTTCTATTTTATATATTCATTACACATTCTGGATACTAATCCAGGATTTACCCTCTCTTTAGTCTGTGGCTTAGTTTTTTCACTCATTTTATGATGGCTTTATGCACTTATGCACAGAAGTTCTTCATTTTAATGGAATAAAGTTTATCAATTTGATATTGATGAATAGTTTATCAATAAAGATATACCAGTTGATAACAATGAGTTTTATTAATTGATTTTAAATTATCCATTTTTTCCAAAGAACAAATTCTGGACAATCTTATTAAGAAATCTTTCTGGCCGGGCGCGGTGGCTCACACCTGTAATCCCAGCACTTTGGGAGGCCGAGGCCAGCAGATCACGAGGTCAAGAGATCGAGACCATCCTGGCCAACATGGTGAAACCCCGTCTCTACTAAAAATACAAAAAAAATAGCCGGGCATGGTGGCACGTGCCTGTGGTCCCAGCTACTCAGGAGGCTGAGGCGGAAGAATCGCTTGAATCCAGGAGGCAGAGGTTGCAGTGAGCCGAGCTTGTGCCACTGCACTCCAGCCTGGCGACAGAGCAAGACTCTGTCTCAAAAAAAAAAAAAAAAAAAAAAAAAGAAAGAAAAAAAGAAAAGAAATCTTTCCTTATCCTAGTGTCATAAAGATAGTCATCTATAGTCATCTATATTTTCTGTAAGTTTCAGGGTTTTGTTCTTCCTTATGGTTCTTTGATCTGCTTGGAATTCATATTTGTGTATGATACAAATAATGGATTTCATTTTATTTTTCTATATATGGAGTTAGCTGCCTGAGTATCGTTTATTGATAGCTTTTCCTTCCCCCTTCGGTTTGCAATGACTGCCCTTCCGTGTAGCAAGACTCCATATCTGCATGGGTTGGTTTTGGTCACCCGCAGTTTTTTCCTGTTAAGCTGTTTATCTTTCCTCATCCTGATACCATGGTGCCTTAACTACTGTAGATTTACTAGAAATCATATAGCAAAAGCCTCTCCTCTGTGATTCTTTAGAAGTGTCTGGAGTATTCTTAGTCCCAGATCTTCTTTATAAGTTTTTTTTTTCTTTTCAAGACATAGTCTCGCACTGTCACCCAGGCTGGAGTACAATGGCACAGTCTTGGCTCACTGCAACATCTGTCTCCCACATTCAAATGATTCTCCTGCCTCAGCCTCCAGAGTAGCTGGGATTACAGGTGCCTGCCACCATGCCCAGCTAATATTTTTATTTTTAGTAGAGATGGGGTTTCACCATGTTGGCCAGGCTGGTCTCGAACTCCTGACATGGTGATCCACCCACCTCGGCCTCCCAAAGTGCTGGGATTACAGGTGTAAGCCACCATGCCCGGCCCTTCTTTATAAGTTTTTAAAGTTCTACTTTAAAAATAACTTAGAATTTTTATTAATATGGAGAGACTAGACTCCTTTAAGATAGTGGGTCTTTCTATCTGTGAATGTGGTGTATCTATCTCCCACTAATTTAAGTCTTCTTTATTAATTTTAAGCAAGTTTTATAAAATTCTCCATTGAGGTCTTACGTAACATCTTCTGTTAGACTCATTTCTAGGTAGTTTATTTAAAATATTGCAAATGAATTATTTTTAAACATTTACTATTAAATTTTTCATTGCTGGTATATATAAACATACTTATTAGCAACCTTGCTGAACTGTCTTCTTAGTTCTAATAATTTGTCTGTAGATTCTGTAGATTCTCTTGGGTTTTCTATGAAGATAATCTATCATCTACAAGTAATAACCATTTTGTTTATTTCCAATTCTTGTACAGTTTTCCTTTGCCTTATTATAGTGGGCAGCATCTTAGTTACAATGTTGACTAGAAGCAATGATAACAGATATCCTTACTTTGTTCCTGCTTTCGCAGGAAATGCTCCCAGAGTTTCTCAGTTAAGATTGATGTTTGCTCCCGGTAAGGTAGATAGCCTTTATTAGGTTAAGAAATTCCCTTGTACTTTCGATTTGTGACACAGTTTCACATGAAAGGATATTAAAACTCTCTCCAGTAGTTTCTGAATTCCCTCCCAGTGCCTAGTCCTGGTCTGCCTCTGTGAGTCATTTAAGATGTGGGCCCTGTTATGAAGAAGCAAAGTCTCCATTGGGGAAACTGATCTCAGGCATAAATGTCTTCAGTTACGAATGACCTTGTCTAAAAGAAGATGCTGCAGAGAGAAGGATAGAATGTGGATGGGAGGAGGGGGCAGTGACTGCACAGCAGAAGCCTTCATGGAGAGGCAGGATTTGAGTTGGATGGAAGGATTTTCACGATGATGGGGACGAGGGGCACTCACAGAAGAAGACACAGGCACAGTCTCGGGGCCAGAAATGCCTGATGTGTGTGTTAGCTTGAGAGCCTGCGGTTGTAGAGCAGAACCATTGGCAGCCTTGCCAGGGAAGGGCCCTGCTTTCTCCCTCAGACACCTGCACTGCACCCGGAACTACATTCACCTGAACCTGTTTGCATCCTTCATCCTGCGAGCACTGTCCGTCTTCATCAAGGACGCAACCCTCAAGTGGATGTACAGCACGGCTGCCCGGCAGCACCAGTGGGATGAGCTCCTCTCCTACCAGGTGTGTGGAGCATCCGGGACTGCCTCGGGAGGGGTGGGTGGTCAGAGGAGGCCTGCCTCTGCCACCCTAGCCAGGCCTGGCACAGGGGAAGGCAAGAGCTGCCCAGTGCTGGCCCTTTGGGAGCCCCCAGTCTGATGGGAGAGGCAGTTCACCTTGGGACCCTCCAGTCTGATGAGAGAGGCAGTTTACCTGGGGGAGCCCCCAGTCTAAGGGAGGAAACACTGCCCTAGGGACTTCTCAGTCTGACACAAAAGAGTAGTGTTTGGAGACACACTTGGGTTTGAATCCCAGCTCTGTCACTTACTATCTGTATACTTTTAAGGAAGTCACTTACTTCTCTGAGGCTGAGTTTTCTCACCTGCAGGGGCATAATATTACTTTCTTCCAATCACGATAGTGAGGATTCAATGAGCTAAAGCATAGAAAGTCCTTAGCACTAGCCCTAGCCAGAGATGTCAGCTCTCTCCTCCTGCATTCACCGTGGCAGGATAGTGGCTGGAGCAGGATGGGGAGTGGTATCAAGAGAGGCAGAGGGCAGAGCTGTTGTCCCCATGGCACCCTTCCTCTGCCCCCAGGACTCTCTGGGCTGCCGCCTGGTGTTTCTGCTCATGCAGTACTGTGTGGCAGCCAATTACTACTGGCTCTTGGTGGAGGGCGTGTACCTGTACACACTGCTGGCCTTCTCAGTCTTCTCCGAGCAACGAATCTTCAGGCTCTATGTGAGCATAGGCTGGGGTAAGGCCCACCATCACACCCCTGGACCTGTGGCATGGGGGTGGGAGACCTTGACCCCTCTTCCAACATGGTACTTAGAACGCACTGCTGGGCAAGGGGCAGAGCACACTGGGTAACCCTCTTCCTGGGTGCAGGGCCTTCTGCCCTTGTGCTGTTAAGACTCTGTAGGGGTTATGGTCCTCCCCTCCTTTGTATAACTCACCACCCTTAATGGAAGCCTCCACCCCCATGTGGCCAAGTACCACCCTCTACCACTATCACACCCACCACTGAAGGTCATGGCACTGTCTTCTTAAGACCACATGGGGTCACGTGGTCTTAAGAGCCCAAGGGAGGCCGGGCGCGGTGGCTCAAGCCTGTAATCCCAGCACTTTGGGAGGCCGAGGCAGGTGGATCACGAGGTCAAGAGATCGAGACCATCCTGGTCAACATAGTGAAACCCCGTCTCTACTAAAAATACAAAAAGTTAGCTGGGCATGGTGGCGTGTGCCTGTAATTCCAGCTACTCAGGAGGCTGAGGCAGGAGAATTGCTTGAACCCAGGAGGCGGAGGTTGTGGTGAGCCGAGATCGCACCATTGCACTCCAGCCTGGGCAACAAGAGCGAAACTCCGTCTCAAAAAAAAAAAAAAAAAAAAACCCAAGGGAAATGGTGAGTCCTGGGCCTCAAGGTGCAGAGGGGATCAAGAGGGCAGGGGGGTTTCTGGGGAGGGACGCTGAGGGTGCTCTGTCACATGATGATAAAGAGGAGGGCTCAGAGGAGAGCCAAGTAGGGTGGGGCAGGGAGACCAGAGGCCAGCCAAGGAAAGGGTGGACTGCGAATGTGCCTGGGGCCCAGCTGGAAATGTTCTAGCCAAAAAAGTTTGCCAAGAACCACTGTGTCTTTTTTTTTGCTGGAACATTTCTGGTTGTGCCTCTGCCTCTCACCACGTGGGATTCTAATGAGGGGCAGGGCTGGGGTTGAGCAGGGGGCTGGGATCCCCTTCACCCCTGAGAAAACATGCAACAGGCCTTTCTGAAGGGGCCCTCGGAGCCCCGAAAATAGGCCCTGCCGTCTGGCCCTCCCCAATCTGTCATTGAATCTGTGGATTTTCCTGTTTCACATAATACCCCACCCTGTTCGCCACTCCATTCACTCTTCCTTCCTTCATGCACCCACCTCACGATGCTCTGACCATGGCTGCCCCTGCCACCCAACTCCAGGGACTTCCCAGCTCAGTCACACCCAGACTGCTCCCCCAGTCGCCCCTCTTCCCTGACACTGGCCCTTCCCCTGAGCCTTTGCAAAGCTGTTCTCCATGCAGGAATGTTCAGAGAGCATCCTTTGCACACCAGGGTGTCAGCTGCCTCTTCAGGAAGCTGCCTCAGACCACCGGCCCTGGTGGCCCTGTGCTCTCTGCCCTCTCGACTTCTCCATCCCCTATCCTTGCACTTCATTTATTTTTACTGGTGTTCCTCAGCCACTTTGCTCTGTATACCACCCCCCACCACCCTGCCCCGGAGAAGGGTAGCCTGAGAGATTTTAATGTGACCAGTGTCTTGAGGGCACCAAGGCCCAGAGTGGGCAGGGCCTTAGAGGCAAAGCAGGCCCTGTAACCGAGGCCTCCTGACTTCCAGGCTCTGGGCCCGTGGCCATCATGCCCAGTTCTCTGGCCCCAGCTGCAATGCTTCAGTCCCTTGTAGCACCCCTGAGCAGGCTCAGGCCTCTGCACAGATGAGCAGGTAGGCCTGGCTCCTGCTCACAGATCCCTGCTCCTCACCTGCCTCCTCCTCCCCTGGGACCTAATCCCTTCCTTGGCCTTTTCTCCTCAAGGCTTCTTCCTCCTGCTGGAGCCGATGAAGAGCCCTGCAGCTCACTAGGGGTGGGGGAGGAGGGAGGCCATCGAGGGAGCTCAGGGAGGGCTGTCTTCAGGGTGGGGCACAGTGTCTGTCCATTCTAGGAAATAGCATCAGCACTGTTAGTGCCTGTCACCATGGCGACCCGAGGGCAGGAACAATCAAGGGACGTGTGTGATGTGTGCGGAGGAGTGGGGCTAGCTGGTCGGAGTTTGGTGGGGACACACAGCCCTGGAGGTCTCGGAGTGGGAGGTGGGGGGGCAGTACCAGTCCTTTCCCTACCACCTCACACCCGAGCTCAGGGTTCGGGGTCTGTGAGAGCACAAGGGCCAGACCTGGAGGACACCCTGCTCCAATCAGAACACCTTTTCCTGAGGAATCGGGATGGGGAGAGACAGAGGTTCACAGATTGCTAGGAGCTCAGACATGATGCCAGGAGGCCTTGCCCAAGCTGGGATACTTGGGAAACAACTTTTAGCTTTGTGTGCAAGTAGAAGAATTAAAACTGGGACTCTGGCACAGTTGGAGCGGTCCCCCAAAGGGCATGGCAGCTTCTCCTGCAGTCCCCAGGCAGTCAGGGGCCTGTAGAAACCCACAGGGAGGCTGTGCAGGAGAGAGGCGAGTGATGGATGAGGAAATCATTATTTCCCGGAGCCGGTTCTGTGTGTCTTGCTTTGAGCTTTTTTTCCAACCTGTCTTGCTCGTTTTCTAAATGGGAGAAAGATGAAGCCAGCAGGGAGTGTGTAATGCTTGCATGCGGCAGGACTTTGTGCCTATGTTTTTTGAAAAGGCCTTGTTAAGGAAATGCTGACGATGAGCGAAGCTTGCCAGGTCTGGCTGATAACATGGGTGAGTGCCCTGATCCTTCCTCCTTCCAGGAGGTCTCAGAGAGAAGGGGCAGCAGCAGGTGGGGATGCCTGAGAAGGAAGCATCTGTATGTATATGTGGTTCAGGCAATACGCATGCTCTTGTTTAGAGAAGTTTCCTCCCGTCTTTGATTTATTGACTCACCCATTCATTCATTCCATTCTCATTGGGCATCTTCTATGTGGCAGGGCCTGTGCCATGTGCTGGGGCCTTTGGAGATCATCCCACTCCTTGTCCAGTTCCATAAAGGCCTATTATTAAAGCACCGTGGATTCTGAGAGGTCTGATTTGTGTAAAAATAAATGGGCTGAGAGAGAGCGAGCTGATGAAGAATGCTGCTCAGCTGGGGGCTCCTTTGCTTTCTCTATCCTTCCCTGCATCATCAAGCATAGTAGATCCGGACACACAACCTGCTTAGTAGCTGCTGTTGAGTGGACAGCTACTGATGAGCTAAAGATATAGATGATGGTGACAGGAAAGGCTGTGAAGTCATTCTGTCCTGGAAATGTGCTCCTGGCAGAGATTCCCCAAAGCCACATGTGCACATGCACATTCCAGCCACCACACCCTCACACACAGGTCTACATACCTTAATACGCACACGCTTACCTATCTCAGACACTTCTCCAACACTGAGGGAGGCGCCAGTGGAGACAGGCATGGAGATAGCCAGAGCAGAAAGCCATTGAGGGCAGTGGGAGTGGGCGTGGACTGCAGCCCCAGACTCGAGCCCCACCTGTGCTCTTCTGAACCCCTGATCCGTCTCCTCATGTCATGTGAGGAAGGACGCTCCAATTTTAAATTAATCAACACAGATCGAGCTTTCAGGGTGACCTGGGCATTAAGGCTCTGAAGGTGAGTGAGAGGCCCAGCCTCTGTACTCAAGGAACTGGGAACCAGTTGTATTAATTCTCTATTGCTGCATAACGATTAACCCTGTAACTCAGCTACTTAAAACAATGAACGATTGTTATCTCACAGTTCCTGTGATCTGGAATCTCTGTCCAACTTAGCTGGGTGCCTTGTGGCTCAGGATCTCACAGAGAAAACTCTCTAAGCAAGACCATGCCAATTTCCTGAACCACCTCCGCATACAGAAGCTTCCTTCTCGGGCATCCCTGCTCCCTGCTGTCCCTTCTCTCTGAGACCTCCTTCCAGCATCAGGGCACTCACAGAGAAGTAGCCAGCTGTCACCAGGGGTGCTATGATCTCAAGGCTTAACTGGGGATGGAGAATCTACGTTGAAGCTCACTCCCAAGGCTGTTGGCAGGAAGCCCCAGTTCCTCGCTGGCTAGAGGCTGGAGGCCTCCATTTCTTGCTGCAGAGGCCTCTATCTAGGCCTTCTGAGTGCCCTCAGGACATGGCAACTGGTTTCCCCTGGAGCAAGTGATCAGAGAAAGAGACGGTGTGTGCAAAACAAGCCAGAATATCTTTTATAACAATCAGAAGTGGCATGCTATCACTTCTGCCAGGTGTTGTGGGTCACACGAAACAATGCTGACACAACGTCGACCACACAAAGGTATGAGCACGGGAGGTGGGATCCCCATGGCCATCTTAGAGGCTGTCTACCACACAAGCCAAGTCTCAGCCGAGTGGAAGGTAGTATTTTGTAGCTCTTGTTATTGTAGGCCACTGCGGACAGTTACTTGGTCTGTTGGCATCAAGGACTGGTCTCCTGTCTCCATTCCAGGATTCTGCCAAGGCCATAACACCCCTCAAGAGTGGTATGAGATACCTGCACCCATGTGGGCTCATGTGTGTGTATTCACACACCTGCGCAGACACACAGGTGCACAGGGGTAGGGACGAGACAACTGAAAGGACATCCAGTGCCGGAAGGAGCTGACTGAGATGGGCAAGTGGGCTGAAGCAAGCAAGAAAAAGAGCATCCGAGGGTTCGCCTGCTCCTCGCCTCATCCACCATGCTGTCCCCACAGCATGGCCTGGTCCCGCTACTGCTTGGGTGTCTGTGGCCTGGTGTCTCAGCTGGGATCCTCAGGGCAGGTCCCGACAGTGTGCCTGGCACATAGGAGGTGAAGGACTGCTGAGGACTTCTCTGTAAGGAAGAGTCTGGGAGTCACATGGGGCTCCTGCTGCCTCTGTTTTCCCAGGTGCCCAGAGAAAAACTAGAACACCTAGATTGAGGCCAGGCAAGGAGAGGGGCTGGAAGTGTGAGAGGCCTGGGGCAAGGAGAGGCGTCAGCGTGTGGACTGTGGCTCTGGCCTGCCAGCCCCTCTCCCCTCTGTCTTTTCCTCTCTCCTAGGTGTCCCCCTGCTGTTTGTTGTCCCCTGGGGCATTGTCAAGTACCTGTATGAGGACGAGGGGTGAGTGTCCTGCTCCAAGGGGGCAGGTGTGCCCAGGTCCCCATCCTCAAGGTCCATGGGATTCCTTGGTACCTGGGGCACCCATCTGTCAGGAGGATAAAGGCGGGGACCACTTTAGAATGTGAATTTAGTTCCCTAATCTCTCCTCCCTGCCTCTCCCCCTGCCCCAGGATTGTTTGATGACTGATGGAACTGGATCTATGGGGATATGGTGCCCTCCTGCAGGTTTTTCTGTAATATCTGCAAGTGACATGCTTGTGTCATTTTGTATATGATGCTGGGTACACGCATGACTGTGTTGGTAGGTCCATGAGAGCTTGTTTAGAGGCGTGGGCACCTCCGTGTATGATGGTGTATTTGGACTGTGCGCGTGTGTTGTGTGGCTGTGCACTGGCAGAGCTCTGTGCGGGTCAGTGGGACTGCTTGTTGAGTGGCTCCTGGGATCTGTGTGTGTGGTTCTCCACATGGCCATGAGTGTCAGCAGCCCCTGTGCCTACACCTGAGCTGGGGGTCCTGTGAGTCCTGCTGAAGGCATGTGTGCATGTCTCTCCCTCCCTAGCTGCTGGACCAGGAACTCCAACATGAACTACTGGCTCATTATCCGGCTGCCCATTCTCTTTGCCATTGGGGTGAGTGATGGTGTCAGGGATGGCGGGGGCAGCTATGATAGGCCTGGGCTCGTGCCCCCTGCCAATCCCTGGCCACCCTGCAGGTGAACTTCCTCATCTTTGTTCGGGTCATCTGCATCGTGGTATCCAAACTGAAGGCCAATCTCATGTGCAAGACAGACATCAAATGCAGGTGACGTAACAAGTGTCCCTTTCCTTCCAGCAGAGAGAGAGAGAACCTGGGATGCTTAGCTTAGAGCCCTATACTACCCTCTTCTCCCACCCAGCCCTGGCCTGAAGCCCCTAACCCTTGCTTTTGCCCTGTCTCTGGGCAGCCCCTGGGATTCTTGGGGTCTTGACATCTATTCTTTCCCTCCAGGCAGCCTGTCCCAGGGTATTTGGGGTGGGAGAACATCCATGACCCAGATGTCAGGACTTGGTAGGAAGTGGGGAGGGTAGAGAAAAGGGAGAAGAGTCCTTGGGAGAGGCAGAGAATGACTCCAGAGGTCTCCACCCTGCCCCTCAGACTTGCCAAGTCCACGCTGACACTCATCCCCCTGCTGGGGACTCATGAGGTCATCTTTGCCTTTGTGATGGACGAGCATGCCCGGGGGACCCTGCGCTTCATCAAGCTGTTCACCGAGCTCTCCTTCACCTCCTTCCAGGTAACTTCATGGCTGGGGGCACTTGCTTGTAAAGTCCTGGAATGGGGGTGGGACAGACACTAGCCTGTATCATGCAGATGAAAAAGAGTAGGCTGAGACCTGGGGTAGGCTGAGACCTGGGAGAGTGATCCCTGCCCAAAGTCACCTAGTTGGAGCAGAGCCAGATCTGGTGTCCCCAGGTGTCCCAATACCTGGGCCAGTCTTCTCTGTAAGCACATGGGACAAGAAGCCTTCCTGGATGCAGCTCTGGATACCCAGCCTGGCATTGCAGCTGCCATCTACTGGGTGGCGAGCACCCTGCCAGGTGCTTTATATGCATTGTGCATTGACTCCTCACAGAACCCAGGAGATGTGCAGGGTGGCCCCCGTTTTACAGAGGAGCCTCAGAGGCGTTAAAACCAGAGTTACGGCATCACAGTTTCAAAGAGAAGAACTGGTCCTCTCCATAAGCATTAAATGATGCTAAGCGGGTGTAAAAATACAAAACACTAGTCCCTGCCCCTCAAGAGTGTTATGAGATGCCTGTACACATGTGGGCTTGTGTGTGTTACAGACATGTGCAGACACACAGAACACAATTCTGGAGCTCTGGGTGTCCTGTGTTAACAGACGGGGCTGGTGTGGGGAATATTCTCCACAATCAGTCATTGTACTTCACTGGGACAGGTCTCCTCAAGGGGACATTGGCTGTAGGATCTTGCAGCTTCTGGGCAGCTTCTGAGCAGGGTCTCCTGGACCCCATGGCACATGCCTAGGAGACCCATTGGGACAGGCTAGCTGGGGCCTGTAGCCAGGGTTAGTCAGAAAGGGGCAACTCTGCTGTTCCTCCAGAAAGGAAATGGGAGGGAAGCCCCTGCCCTATTCCTGGATCTCCCTGGGCCACTGGATTTGAGGAGGGGGATATTGAGGATGGAGTCCCAGGGTGCTTCTGACCAGGGCCAGTCTGCAGGGGACCTCTCGCCTATTTCCTCCCTCCTGATGTGATTCTCGTTTCCAGGGGCTGATGGTGGCCATCTTATACTGCTTTGTCAACAATGAGGTAAGCTCTGGGGAGAGACAGTGGGGTCCCTGGTGGGTGGGTACCATCGGCCAGTCTGGAGTTGTACAATGAGGACTCCCATCAATCTTGAAACCTCCGACTCAGTCCACTAGGGCCCTAGGGTTGAGGAGGCATCTTGTCCACAGATTTGGTTTTCTGTGCGTGGGTCTCTCACACCTGAATACACATACACATACACACATGTACATGTACAGACATACCCTATGGTATGTGAGCTTGGCGAAGACCCAGCCTCATGTTAAGGGGGTCCCCAATGACCCCCTTTGCTTGGTGGTGGTGACTGTCACTTATAAAGTGATTCAACACATGTATACTCAAGCCACATGCTTGGGGCTTTAATAATCACGATTTCATTTAATTATGACCCCAACATCCCTCCAAAAAACCCTGCTAAAATTATTATTTCATCTTCCCACTTTTATACATGAGAACACTGAAGATCAGAGAGCATCAGAAACCTGCCCTGGGTTGGAAATAGTCGTACACATCGCTTCTCAGCCTTTTGGCTAAGATGAAGTGTGGAAATAGTGGCATGGCAGAGCCAGGACTCAAATTAATTCTGCCTTAAAGAAGGAAGACCCCATTCTTCATACACACAGGCAAGAGCCCTGGCTCACTATGGGGAAGGGGGTGGCTTTCTGGTGCTAGGGTGGAAGAAGGGGGTTCTTGCTGGCCCAACACCCTCTCCTGCAGATGCCTGTAGGGCTGCAGGCCTCCCTTCCATCACTGAGATGGTCCGCTCCTGGGAGGAGGGCGTGCCTGCGTTTGTGGGCAGCTGGGAAAGGCTCCTTCCTCCAAGGTACTCATCTTTGGGCTGGGTGTCATAAATGCTACAGCAGCCTCTTCCTCCAAATTCCTTCCAGAGGGGAAGACAAATAATAATAGTAGGGGCAGCACCGGGGCCCCTGGGGAAGTGTCCACAACAGGATTAACCGCCAGCAGGGAGGAGTCCACCCCACAGTCTGGGAGGAAACTGAGGACTGCCACTCCCTTCAGGCCCAGGTGAGGGTTTGCACTAGTGGGGCTGGGGCTCAGGTGACCCAGGGACACTGACCCTCAAAGACCTTACATACCCATTCTGAACCTTAGTTTGCTCATCTACAAAGTGGGGGTGATAATGCCTACCTTTGAGATTCCTGTGAGGATTAAGAAAATCTGAAAAAGGTGGGACAGGAGAACTGAGAACAGATCCCTCCTTTAAGGTGGGATGCTGAAGGCCACTCCGAGCTCCTCACAGTTGCTGCTTGGCATGAAGAAACACACACCACCATCTCCAGATGCTCAGTAAGCAATCGCTATTAGATACCAATATTCAGTGATTCCCCGAGACAGGGGCCTAGGGAATTTCAGAGGATGCTGTGCAGAGAAAATGAGGCTGGGTGAAAGGGAAGGGAGAGGAATGTTCCCTTGTCCCTGAGGCTTCCTCCCGCCTCTGCTGAACTGGCTTCCTGCGGAAAGCGTGGCCCTCAGAGCTGTAAAAGGGTGGGAAACCAAGGTTTTTTTTAAGTGCTTACTGCATATAAGGTGCTCAAAGTCTCATTACATCCAGTGCTGTGAATGGTATCCCCAATTCACAGCTAGGAACATCAAGGCTCAGCAAAGTGAAATGAGTAGCCCTAATTCGATAGCTAGAAGGTGGTTGATGTAGTGGGCTGTGGTGGGGGCAAGATCCCACTTAATACCTCAGGGCAGCCAGTGCTGGGGAGGCAAAGGCAGGGCCAGGCAATGGGATTCTGGCTGCTCCCGGGACAGATCTCAGAAGACTCAGTGGGCTCAGTTTGGAGGGTAGGGGAGGGAAGGAGAGAAGGGCCTCACCCAATAGGTCCTTGACCCACAGGAGGCAGGAAGACACAGCAGCCCTGGTTCTCCTCCACAGCTAGATCCTCACATTGAATTTCTTTAAAACTGACACAAACAAGGAAGTGCAAAAACCTAAGCTCTGTGGGTGGCCTTCCCTCCAGGAATGTTTCAGCCAGCTGATGAGGTGCTACCCAGCCCTGACCTCTGCCGCTTTCCACTCCAGCCCAGTAGGGATGGGGACAGGACAGGGTGGCATGTATCCCTGTGCAGGGATGAGGAGCAGAGGCCCGTGGGGAAAGACAGGCACCCTGCTGCCACCTTGTCACCTCAGCCCCCCACTTCCCCATTTCCCCCTCCTCTCTCCTCTGATCCACTCACCCCAGCCCTACCTAGCAGACACATTATGCTTGGCTTCCCTGCCACCATTACGAAGAGCTTCCCTGGACCCCTGGCTCAGCCGCCTCTCCAGATTCCATCCTCCCCAGCCCAGCCGTCTGTCTCATCACCTCCCTCCTCATGCACCACCCATGGCTGGCCCACCTTTGTAAGGGGATAGACATACGTTTGTAAGGAAATAGTTCTTTGCAAAGAACTTCACCCTGAATCACCAGAGTTGCATCTCTCTGACCAGGCCTGGCTGTATAGGTCCCAGCTAGCATCTCCCCATGGATCTTCCAGGCTTGTGCCATGGGGTCCCAGAGGCCCTGCTCCAAGAACAGGAGAACCTGTTACCTTTCAGAGCACCACCAGTTCTTTTAACCCCACCCCGAGACTCCTCATGCCCTGGCTGCTCCAGGCACAAGTGCAGATACATCATTGTCACTGGGCCACAAAAGACGCACGTGGCTCTGGGGCTGAGGCCTCTGTCCACAAGAGCTGTTCTGCAGACCCAGGGTTGCCATGGCAATGCCAGGTACTTGTGACCTGAGGAGAAAAGATGGCTTGAATATTGGTTCTGTGTGGCTGCCAAGGCCTGCACCAGCTGCTGGTGGGCGGGAGTGGGGACAGGAAGAGGAGGCCTGAAGGTGGTTTTGCTGTAGCTTGTGCCACAGTGAGGTGACTCAGAGCCCTGAGTGCTGGTCCCAGCCCTGCCACCGCGGAGCTGTGTGACCTGGGGCAAGTCATTTTGCCTCCCTTGCCTATGTCTCCCCAGGTGTAAATGAAGGTGAATGAGCTTCCCAATTCAACCCCGATCCTGAGCCTGGCATGATGCCGGCTGGAGAAGGCGGTCAGGAGAATTGTGCTGCACTACAGAGGTCGAGGGCAGGGATGAGGATAAGATCCAGTAGTGGAGGAGGAAGTGTGCTGGCCTAAGTGCCAGGCCAGGTGCTCAAGATTTTTAAAGACAAAAGGGGCATTTCTCCCTGGCCTGCCCCTCTAGATTTCGCTGGTGGAAATGGTGATCGTGCTGGACAAACCAAGAAACTCTGTCTACCACAGGTGCAATGGACACTGTTGACTTGTGTCCACCACTCCATCAGCAGAGTTCTCTGAGGAACAAGGACCCTCCAGGGTGATGCTTTCCCCTAGTGTTGTCTTGGTTGGTTCATTTTCATAGCTGCGGAACAGAAGGAGCCCCATGTGAGATGCTCATTTATTTATGTTCTCATTCATTTGGCTCATTTAAAACATATGTATGAAGTACCTGCTCTGTGCTGGGCACTGTGCTAGGTTCAGGGACACTGAGATGAGGAAGATGTGGCCCTAGCCCCTGTGGTGCTCCCAGCTGAGTGGGGAAGAGATGCACAAGGGACAGGCAGGATCTCAAGAGCCACGCAGGCAGGAGGCCAGGGGTCAGGAGCTGGGCCTTGGAATCAGGCCAGATCTAGGTTTAAATCCTGGCAGAGCAACCTGGGGAAATACTTAAACACTCTGTGCCTCAGTTTTCTCATCTTTAAATGTGGAGCTACTTTGCAGGGTCGATGTGAAAGTTAACTAAGATCATCAATGGAAAATGCTGGGCATACAGTAAATGCCCAATAAATGGTGGTTTTCAAGGACAATTGTGATTACAGGGGTCACAGCAGAGGTTCAGGAAAAGTTCTGAGGGAGATGGGGGCAGAAGGAGACTCCGTGTGTCAGCACTCTGAGAAGTCCTGCAGGTGTCCCTGAAACCTCTTTGGTCTCTGAGGTGGTTTCCCGGGGATGTGCCTCAGTTTACCATGTCCCCCCAACCTCAGTGGAAGGGTTATGAAACAAGACTGGCTTCCCTGCAGCTACACAAATGGGGGCCACCACCGGACTCAGGGCACCCACTCCAGCTGTCAGCATGTGCTCTCTTCACAAAGGCTTGGCCAGGCAGGGAGCTGGCAACACAGCAGGGTGGCTGTAGGTGGTGTCTGCTCAGCCTCCTTCCCTCCCCTACCCAGGCTTGGGCCCCTGACACTGCATGGGATACTGCCGTCATCCTGGCAGGCAGCCTCTGGGCCATCTCAGCTCTACTCAGTGCAGAAAAAGTTCTTTTAAGGGATGGCATGCAGCCATACCAGGCGTCCTGCTGGGCATAGCTGGATGGGTGACAAAGGAGGAGGAGAGGAGGGTTGTTTGCACAGGGGCTGGTGGGGGGGATTGGCCCCTTATCCACAGCTGCTGGCAGCTGGGCTTCTTGGTGATTTGGCCTAAGGGGAAGGGCCCAGACCCCAGACACTCTGGTGTGGGAAGGGCGGGGACTTCAAAGAAGCTCTGGAAAGCAAATTTATGGGAACATCACCCAGAAGAGCAGTCCAGACCCCCTAGGACTAGCTATGAAGGTTCCAGCAGGCCTCTCCAGGGACCAGAATCACTGGCCACCACAGGGAGCCATAGCATTGCCACAAATCCTCAAGGGATGGGGGTTCCACTGTGCTCTTCTACTTGGATTTGCCTCTTTCTGCCCCAACAATCTGGCCCCCAGGCATCAGCCCTCCTGAGAGGCTTTTCCTGATGGGGAAGCCAGAGCACAGCACAACAGGGATCCTGACTGACTGAGCTCCCCTGGGCTGCACCCCCATGGCCACTGCAGAGTCTCTCTGGATGGCATCAGTTGAGAAGCCCTCATTGGCTGCCCCTTCCTCCCTGCCGCTGCACATCTCAGCCACCTTCCTTCCTTCCCTCCCTCCTCCCTGGTGAGGTGCTGGGGCCTGGATGGAAGCCCTCAGGGAGTAGAGAAGGGTCTCCTCTAGACTCCAGGAGGGTTGGGGGTTGCTGTCCCCCTTCTCCATCATCCAACCTGAAATTGGGATTGTGCAATCTAGAGTCTCTCTTCTCTTTCCCATCTCCTGTCTCCCTGCATTTCACCCTCCCTCTCTTTCTTTTCCGTTAAATAATACTGTGATGGATTGTAAAAGGTACTTAGCTGAATCACAGCGTTCAGAGATGGAAAAGACCAATTAGGTCATCAACCTGATCTCTCTCCTGAGGAGATGCAGAAAACAGGAGACAACAATCAACAATTTTATTGGGATATTAATTTAGGCGCCCGAAGGCCTTGACTTGCGTCTCTTAATATAATGCAGTGGATTTTTTTCCCTTCCCCACTAATGTAATAGTGGGGCCATTTTGTGAGCAGTTGGTTTGCATGATGGCTTTCATTTCCCTCCTTTTCCCATGGAAGGTCCAGCTGGAGTTTCGGAAGACCTGGGAGCGCTGGCGGCTGGAGCACTTGCACATCCAGAGGGACAGCAGCATGAAGCCCCTCAAGTATCCCACCAGCAGCCTAAGCAGTGGGGCCACAGTGGGCAGCAGCGTGTACGCAGCCACCTGTCAGATCTCCTGCAGCTGAGACTCCAGCGCCTGCCCTCCCTGGGGTCCTTGCTGCTGGCCGGTTGGCCATTCCAGGTGGGAGAGACACTCCCAGGGACAGGGGAAGGAAGGAACACACACACACACACACACACACACACACACACACACACACACACTTCCTGCTTTCCCTCCCCAAACCCATCAGACAGGTAAATGGGCAGTGCCTCCTGGGACCGTGGACACATTTTCTCCAAGAAGCGTCAGCCTCGTAATTTGATCACAGTGGCAAGCGGAGAGGAAAAACGAGCACTGTGAAAATGAGGAGGATTTCTTCCCGTGAAGCCACAGGCCCTTGGGGTTCCCCCAGACAGAGCCGCAAATCAACCCCAGACTCAAACTCAAGGTCAATGGCTTATTAATGAAACTGGGGCTTGCGAGAGGAGGTGGTTCTGAAAGTGGCTCTTCCAACCTCAGCCCAACACAGCTGGAGTGACCGGAGCCTCCTCTGCTTGCATCACTTGGAGGCACCCCCCTCCCTGTCTTCTCCCAAAGGGAAGCTGCTTGTGTGTCTGGGCTGCTTATTTCCCTCAGCTTGCGCCCTCATCTCACTGCCCAGTTTCTTTCTGAGGGGCTTTATTTGGAGCACTGCCAGCAGCCTTTTCTGGAAATGGCCGTAGGTGGTGGTGAGAATGAGCATTGAGAAGATGCCCGCTTCTCCTCCAGGTATTTGAGTTGCTTCGGTGGCTGCCCCTGCCATGCCCAGAGAATCACCGCAGGCCTGCCACCAGGGAGCCCAGCCCCAGGGTATGAGCTCCCAAGTCTGTTTTAAAGATGCTCAAGAATCCTCTGGGGTTCATCTAGGGGCATGTTAGGAATGTCCAGACTGTGGGTGTAGATTATCTGCCACTTCCAGGAGCCCAGAGGGCCAGGAGAGACATTGCCTCCAGCTCTCCTTGGAAATACTTTTTATCTGTGACCACACGCTGTCTCTTGGCGTGAGAATTTGGATATCCTCTCTAACTTGAGGGGATGTGATCATGAAGACACTCTCCTAGGGAAGCCAATAGTCCCCATCATCACCATGGAGGCAGGCTCCCCCTGCCTTTGGAATTCCCCTGCATGGGAGCTTGTATATACTTCATTCACTTTTCTTAATTGCTGTAAATAGACTGTGTGCACAAACAGGCAATTCTGATTTCTCCCATCTAATGGAAATGAGTGAAATCATGCTTGTTGTGATGTTGTTTGGGGGAGTGCAGCAGTCATTGATTTGACCCACTCACACTGGAGCTAATTAAGGTTTGCTCTGCTGCCAGACTCCCCCACAAATAATGAGCAGCAGAAAGGCTGGATGGTAGGGAAGTTGAACCTCGGGCTAAAGAAAGGAATTGTGTGAATGGCTGCCTGACTGAGACCACAGAGGCCAGGGCGCATTCCTGCTTCCCCAGAACAAGGGCAGGCTTCCCAATGGCATCCCTTGCGTGCTGTCTCTTTGTGAAGGTGAGCACCAGTGGGTTTGATGTGGGGCACAATTCTGGTGCAAATGTTTCAGTTTTGGATAAACTGAGGATTTTGAGAATCATTATTACATTATACAGGAACAAAGAAACAGAATGATATAATATGTGTGAAATAAGTTGCTGAGGAGAGGGATTGTAGGGAAGAAAGTGCTTGGTTAGGCACCTGGGAAGCTCATACCATTTGATTTAAACTCTAAGTAGAGTTCTCCTCCCAACTGAAACTGGTGATTCCTGATTTGAGAAGATTCATCAGACCCCCATATCCAAGCCTTTTAACATGGAGGAAGTTTTTCCTTCATGAATACATACCAGATACTGAACTGAAGAAATCTTTTCTTTGCTCCAAGCCCCACAGAGCTATTAATAGTCATTTGAATGGCACTGCACTATTTCTAAGCTCTCCTAAACTAAATACGGCTCCAGCAGGTCTGGGAACTATCGAATGCAGTGTACTCTGAAATTCCACCAGCTGTTTACATGCCTGATGCCTAACGCCATACGCCTGGAGCTTGCTGAGAACTCTCTCGGCGGCCTCTGTCCTGGGGTACTATTGCTGACCAGCAGGGTGTAGGCGCTGCTTTTGTTTGAGCTTTGCAGCCGCAAGGTCTGATGACTGTTGTGAAAAGCAGCTGACTTCAGCACTCTGGCCAGCTTCCTCAAATTTGTTTGGGGCTTGTATTTTGTCGACTTGTCTTTGCCGTTTCAGTCGTTTGAGCAGCTAAATCACAGAACTGAAACAAACCACTCACATTGCAAAGCTGCCTTCCCTATAAAATGACTTTCTGGATTGCAGGGATGATTTTTGATGGTCTCAGTGTGCCTCATGCTGTAGACCGCATCATTGGAGATCTGGGAGACTCTGAGCAGAGAAAGACCCTGGTGATCTCCCTTGGCCAGATTTGTAGGTTTGAGGAATGAAGCTTGCAGAGGTGGCTTGCCCAAGGGCACAACACTCGAGGGTGGCTGAGCTGGGCCAGGACCCAGACAAGCCTTTGCCTCGCAATCTAGTGAGGCCTCTGGGAAGAATAGATGAAAACTATAAATAGCTGTTCAAGATATTCTAAGTAAAAGTCAGTGGTATTATCTGGAATTTCTACTGAAGAGGAAATACAGTAGCAAAGGTAGACTCATCAGATGGTGAAAGTGTCATCTCCTTTGTAATTTATACTGGTGAGAGGAGGGGAAGGAGGTACTTTCCTATTTTTACTCTGGTACCTCATTCATCATTGTCTTAAGAAATGAAATGCATCAGGGCACACAGATGAATAGAAACAGCACCTGAACCATTTTGGATAGCAATTCCAGCACTCTTTTAATGGATTGGCTTAAATTTTTTTCTGATGCCTCTGTGTGTGTTTGAAAAGTTGTACTGATAGTCACACAGAGTATACTAAAAGAACCAGAAAGGTCTTGAACCTCCCCTTTACCTCTGTAGAACTCTCTGAACTTGGAGACAGCTAGCAAATGGCAACTGTAGCCTAGCAAAGATGGCACAGCACCACGAAGGGAAAATAGAGTCAACTCCCATCCATGCTCTGAAGGTCTTGGCCACTCCTGTCAGGGTTGGCTGTGTTCTATCCAGCAGCTCACAGACAGGAGACCTCCTCTCCTCATTCCCTCCCATTTCTCTGTGCTGGTGGTGTGTGTGTATGTGTGTGCATGTTTCTTCTGTGCATTGCAGCATAAAGTTAGGAGATGATGACTCCAGAATCATCGCACCCACTGTGCAGGTCACAGGACCACACACTCCAGGCTGGGAGTCTAAGTGGTAGATGCTTCCTCTCCATGCACAGACAGGGCTCCCATTATTTGCTAATGCCTGCGACGTGCTCAGGGAAGGCAAAATCTATTCCAAAGGCTTATTTTCCTTCTGTTGAATTGATTCTAATCTACAGTCCTGACCCTGCTTTGGCTCCTATGAGGCAAACTATAAAAATTCTCCAATAAAATACAGAGGCTTACTCTGCTAAGACACCTACCTGTGTGAATGACGTGCTTAACATTCAGCAGAAACCAAATTAGGATCAACTCTAACATTTTCCCCCCTTTTTGTGGCTGGAGTGAGTTCCCCTGGGAAAGAAAATAGTCCAAGTGAGAAACTTCTGCCAACCTCATTACCATGCCCCTACACTGTTACCTTCTGGCCCACATCAACTCTCTGGCCCTATGGAGGGCCGAGACAAGGAAGCGTTATTGAGCAGTATAATTTTGAAGACTTTACTTAGTGCCACAGTGTGTCTGCAGTATCCATAATTGCTTCTACTCTGCCAATGACTACAGACCGGCAGGAAGCAGATAAGCGTAATTGTTTTCCAATAACTCCCCAAGCCTCTTGGACTTTGCTTATACATCTGAATCTCTCAGTGGAGAGAGTTTTCTCTCTTCTTTGGCCATTTTAGCCTGTTTTCCAGGACCTTATCTAGCACTGGCTCTATTTTTGCCCTGGTGTATCCAACTTCCTTCCCCGCACCCCTCCTCCCCCACTGCTGCCTCAGGAAGAGGTGACCTTGCTAGCCATACTGTGAATGCTGTTCTTTCAGCTGTGACCAATTTGGGGGTACAGCTGAGGGTGCGGTGCTGTTAGGGCTGAAAAGGATGCACCTCATTCTACATTCAGGTACAATGAGGAGCGTGGCAGCCATCAGCTTGGATCCTAACTTACATTGGGTGATGCAACCTTTCTGATGGGGCCTGCCAAACTATCAGTAATTAGTCAGCTTAGACAGTGTAGCATGACTAATTATTGCTGTGTCAAAGCAATTCAGGACAAGAAAAGCATATCTAAATGAGAATGTTTAGATGTGGTAAGAAAAGAGGTCTCGCTACAGTTAGGAACGTATAAAAAGTTGAGTTCTTTGCAAGGGAGCCAATGGGGGCATTGAGGAAAGGGCAAAATTCGCCCCAGATGGCCAGTGCTTGATCTTGCCAAACAGTTCATGCTTTACCTCCAAACCTGCGGTTCTAAGCTCCTCCCACTAAAATAATCATCACGTCCTCAAAGCAGGCAGACTCCAGTATCTCATCGGTTCTGCAGGGATTTGATGCAGACCTTTAAATGCACCAACAGAGAGGCAAGCCAAGCTCTCAGGAGGGACAAAGCTAGATTTCTCTTTTCAGTGCTCTTGGGGGATGTTTGCTCTTCATGAATGTTTAAACAAGATCATTTCCATGTGATGTCTTAATGTATAAATTCCCGTAAAATATGACCAGCTTCTATAGGTAGTGAATGTAATTCCTTGTATAGATGTGAATGGATGCAAGCTCTTTCCTAATTTGCCTTGTAAGTCAAATAAAAGTCTGTCTCTACTGTCTCTCTGGCTCTTCCTTTGTGAGAGGAAGTTTTCTGCAGTGTCAATCCAGGTGACTCACGGTGCAGTGGGAAAACACAAAAGATGCCATTTCCAGCTCAAGAAAAAAACAAAACAAAACAAAACAAAAAAACCCTGCTCATTACTCACACCGTGATTCTCATCTGCAGAGCACTTACCAAGTACTAATTTATCCATCACGTCCTTTATGCGGGGACTGCAATGTCATTTAATTAGAGAAGTTGGGTGGTCGAGCAGCTTAAACAATAACTGATGGCCAAATGGATGTGTACTTTAATTCTGCTCATTCATTTGATCTCTCCTGTCTAAATGAACTCAGTCCATTAAATCAATTTTTTTTTAAAAAAAGTCATAAAAGCATAAGCTTTGTTTGCAAAGCAGCCACAGAATTTGAGTGGAACTGCTGTTGAGAGATTCATCTTCAGAAAAATAAACTTTTCTCCAATTTAAATAATCACTCTCTCTCCAGATTTGCAACTCACCCTTATAGAAGGGCAGAAGAATTGCAGATTTCCCTAATTCCCCCACCGCTTCAGTTACACCTATTTGAAGGTCAGTGTACTTACCTGACAGTTTAAACAAATCTGCTTTTTAGACAAGCTGTGATAATTGTCCCTTTCAAACATAAGAACAATTCTCGCCTGCAATCCCAGCATTTTGGGAGGCCGAGGCGGGTGGATCACGAGGTCAAGAGATCGAGACCATCCTAGTCAACATGGTGAAACCCTGTCTCTACTAAAAATAAAAATTAGCTGGGCATGGTGGCGTTTGCCTGTAATCCCAGCTACTCAGCAGGCTGAGGCAGGAGAATTGCCTGAACCCAGGAGGCGGAGGTTGCGGTGAGCCGAGATCGTGCCATTGCACTCCAGTCTGGGTAACAAGAGCGAAACTCCGTCTCAAAAAAAAAAAAAAAAAAAAAAAAAAAAAAAAATAATTCTTACCCTGAGAGCAAGTTATACCTACAACCAGCTCCTGACAGCGGCAGGTGGAATATTTGCATTTGTTTCTCTGCACCAATCTTGCTTTTGAGTTCATTCCCTCCCCTATTGATACTCTTACCTTTCTGTGTCCTTCCCCTTCCACTTAGCAGGACCAAAAAGCAGGATTTTTGTCCCCTCCCCATCTTCTAGGAAAACATCCACCCAAACCAATTAATGGCCACCACATTTCTAGGTAGCCATTACAAATAATATAAATCAGGTAGATGTGCACCTTCTTTCTCTGACGTTGCACTGTGGCTTAATAAGGGCTTGACCTCAGCCTAAAGAAAAGAGGGTTGAGGAGCTGCCCTGCTGTTCTGGGGCTTAGCCACTGGGAAGACAAGTGAGAATTCTTGGCCTCCAGACTCATTCATGTTCACATGCAATATAAAGTCATATTCCAGTGTCTGCAGCCCCAGATGGGGAGGACTGAGTTCCACATAGAATTTGTGAAGGATCTCACTCACATGCCATTGCATATCAGCATTTTAAAGGGTTGGGAACTCCTGGCCCCTTCCCTCACTATCCCTGTGCCATAAACATATGGCAGTTCAGTCTCTTCTAGTCTCTGTCTCTGTCTGTTCCTCTGTCCTTCCTTTCTTCCTTTCTCCTTCCTTCCCTACCCACCCTCCCACACAAAAAGAGAAAGACTGAAAACAGTGAGGTTTTCCCGATCAGAAGTA